GAAGACATCGGACAGTGTAAGACATGACAAAATAATAATAATTTATAAATTATCAAGGTTTTGAGAAGGAATGGGGGAGGGAGGGGAAAGATTGAGGAGCTGATACCAAGAGCAAATGTTTTGAGAATGATGATGGCAACAAGTGTACCATTGTGCTTGACGCAATGGATGTATGTGTGGATTGTGATAAAATGATTTTAAAATATATGTATATTTGTCATTTGACACATCTGACTTGTTACCATCGATGTAACACCTAAGATTCCTTCATATCATATCTTAAGACCAAAGCTACTCTGCTTGCAGCCTACCAAGGTGCTTCCAAAGGTAGATCATATCAAGCCGAATGTGCCTCTCTCTCAGGTGCTGGGAAGTACCTCGCCGTCGCATCCCATGACAGCTTCGTGGACATATACAACGTGCTGAGCAGTAAACGAGTAGGAATCTGCAGAGGGGCCACGAGCTATATAACCCACATTGACTGGGATCTAAGAGGTGAAAACATAACTCACTCACTACTCGATCAAGTTGCCGTTGCTATTTTAGAGGAACAGGAAGCGATTTTAAAAGATATTGTTAAAAACCCCAAGGCATGATTCTCAAAATTATTTTCCACTAGCTTACGTTCCGCATCGAATCAACCAACCCTGTGGCAGTCAGACTTTTCATCCTTCACCCAATACGATTCTCAGGGGAGTCCATCAAGTGATGACGGGACCATGACACAGTGGAACGATTTAAATTCTGCACAGAGATCATGTCCTGTGAGGAAAAGGCCCTAGTTTCTGTCGGATTAATTTGGTATAAATAGTAACTTCAACTCTGGAAAGACTATTAATGAGGAGTTGAAGAAGAAGAAAGTTCGCTCTGCATTGTTAAGTATAAAATATGTTCTCCTAGATAGGGCCATGATTGCACAGAAGACAGAGCTTCATGGGTATTTGGGGGTTTTAGTATATGATTATGCCAGTTCCCGTCTGTGGGGATTTAATCAAGAAGCATGAATTTTAATCAGTTTGAATAAATAGCAAATACTTAAGTGCTCCCTTTTAAGAGAGTGTGTTTTATTTATTCATCGAAATGAATCTAGATTTGCAAATTAAGAGGTTTCCCCAAATATAGTTAGACAAAATATTTACAGTTATCTTTTACAAAGTGCTGCAACATTTTTTTCTGTGTATGAAGAACAGCAGAAAGTGTTTTCTCGCATGTCCCCGTATTTTGCGTTGCAGATACTGCATTAAAAAACCCAGAAATATGAAGGTGTGTGACCACCGTCCATCCACCAAACCCGTCGGGTGTCAATCTCCCGACACCATGTGCTCCCTCTGGGTCTCTCTGTCCCACTTGGGTCACACTCACGCGATTTCACTTTTTCATCCTGGCCTTGCACACTCAGCGGACTGCCTTACAGTTGACACATGACTTAGAGATGCACTGGGGCACAACAACAAGAAAATCCCGTGCAACTCCCTTTCTTGCTACCTGCCTGTTCCTGGCAGGCCACCACCAGACAGGAATGGCTCCAAGGTCCACCCGTAGATCCATACACACCATCTAAACCACTTGAGATTTTGATTACTTAATTCTATGGCGACTGAGAAAACGAAATGCCCTCACTGCATGTGGACTGCTGAGAAAGATGGGGTTTGAAATCTAAGTTTCTTTTTCCCCATAAGATTTCAGCCCCAGGTGAGAGTCATACTTATTTGTGGATTACGTTTGGATATGTATGAAGCTAAATGTGCTTCCCACATATAAAAATGGGCTTCCTACATGTAAATCTGGATTTATATCTCTGTATTTGTATTTTGTTTTCTTTTTGAAGGAAAGCTTTTACAAGTCAACACTGGTGCTAAAGAACATTTATTCTTCGAAGCCCCCAGAGGGAAAAGGCAAGCGATTCCCAGTGTGGAGGTAGGAAGAGGGTCATGTTGGTCACCTGATAAGTCAGAGTGGTTGGAATCTGGACACCAAACTCCCTCCCTGTAGTGACTTGCAAATCCTGTTTCTCAAGTTACTTACATTGTAGGTACTCTCTGAGTGTGTTTACTTAACTGGGCAAGAATACACCAATGGGTAAGGAATAGAGAGAACTTAGAGCTAAAACAGAACCGAATATACTCGAGTATAAGCCGGCCCGAATATCAGCCGAGGCACGTAGTTTTACCACAAAAACTGCATTAAAAATGTGCTGGAAAACTCGGCTTATACACGTGTATACATGGTACTTCCTTGATCGTGTGAAGGAGGAGGAGGTCGTATTTACGATGACTGTGCTCAGCATCTAGTGCTCACAGTGGAGAGGCAATCTTGTATCTTGAATAGTATTAAGGTCAAATTCTTCTGCCGAACTCTGGAAGCTTCAAAACCTCTGCACTGATTTGAGTTGCAGAGAGAGGATCCGTAGCTGGTTGCGTTAACCTGGGCCCCTAATGAATAGATACCCTTATAATGGTAGTTACCGGTTTCGGTTCAGGTTGCCCTGACAGTGTGTTGTTTTGTTTTCCTCCCTAGGTAGAAAAAATTGGCTGGGTCTCATGGACAAGTGTGCTTGGTTTATGCTGTGAGGGGATTTGGCCGATCCTTGGGGAAGTCACAGACGTTACTTCCGCTTGCCTCACCAATGACAAAATGATCCTCGCTACCGGGGATGATTTGGGATTTGTGAAGTTATTTCGATTTCCCGCGAAAGTATGTGCTCTTCTTTAACTTTCTTAATAATGGGAGTGCTGAAACAGGACTGAGGTCTTGCCACTTCATAGTGTTTCATTATTGTGATAGGAAATGCTCAGAATTTGTGTTTCCTCCTCTTGGCATCCTCTCACTAGCTTTTACCTAGGAAGGATTATCATTTATGAACCCTTGGCTTACGTTCAGGAACCCTGGTGGCACCGTAGGTTAAGCATTTGGTAGGTGGTTCAAACATACGAGCTACTGCGCGCAGAAAGACAGCGCTCTCTGCCCCATCAAGTGTACAGTCTCAGAGACTCCAGGGCACAGTTCTGCTCTGCCCTCCCAACTCTGCTGCATACAGGGGGCTGTGCCTCCCTCTTGTACAGCACCGCTCCATCGCTCCATCGTGAGTCGTCGGAATCTCCCTTCACTTGAAATTAACGATGTTGATTTCGTGTGATACATGCTTTCATTTTGCTGAAACCGAGACGCACAGGTTCCCTGGATTGCCGCAAGAAGTCTGTGCTGCCGTGGGCTGTGCAATGGCTTGAATCTCTCAGCACTTGCCTCTGTTCAGATGACTGCACTACCACGGCTCGTGGGTCAGGAAGTTATTTCGCTTTACCCCAAGATGAAACGTCCATATAATGTCCAGCTGCGTCTACTTCTTACCGATGTCCTCAATTAAGGGTTGTATATTAAAATCGTGACATGATGATAAACCTAGTCTGAAATAGGGCCCTGAAATCATATGATGGTTTCAGCAGCTGATCATCTTCAAACCTGCTCACATGTTCTCACATCAGCACTGAAATGAAAACACAGGTTTAACAATTCTCACAGGAAACTCAGATCCCCAAGAAGATGTTCAGATCCACTCAGTAGAGTCTTAGTGGATAAGAACATGTGTGAAACATTTTGTTGTTCCAGTTACTCACTTCCAGAATGCCAGATGACACAAGGTCACAGCAATGCCCCCTATGGTGTTGACCTGCATCACTGTGGCAAAAAGCTCAGCAGCCTAGGAAAACTGCCTCCTGTGGGGCTCTGACAGCAGAATCCCCTCATTTCAGAGTTTACGTTCCCAGAGAGTCCCTGATCCGCCTGTCACTGCACTTTGCTTATCTAAGGAAGCTCTTCACCCCTGGACACGTCCTCCTCAGCCCTGTGTGTGATACGCTGTTCCGAAATGTAGTCCCATAACTCTGTCATGCTATTTCTAGATGTAACAGCTGCTGTTTCGATGACTTGGGGTTTTCTTGATGTCGACTCCCCATGGACAACGCTTATAGCTAATTAAGGTGTAAGATATTTGCTTGGGTGTATACCAAAAGGACTGATGAGTTTTGCGTGTGTGTGACTAGCCATGCTGTCCATGAGCATTTATATCCTAATGTTCTTATTGTGTAGTTCCCATAATCCTTGCATAATCATTGTCTTTCACTGGTGAACATTTTGTGCGTTTTAAGGTTTTCATTACTATAAGTAAGTCTTATGGTATTTTTTTTGGCTACATAACATTTTCTTAGCATAGCTCCCTAGAAGGACAACCAGGGAGTCAAAGGTAAGAACATTTTAACGCATTTACTGCTAAGCGCCAACTTGGCTTCCAAAAAAAAAAGTTGTGCCCATGGTCCCATCATTGTGTGAAGCAATTGTTGTGTTCTGTCTTTACCAAATTTTGGACTTGTCCTTTATTCTAGTGTGCTTCATCAATTACGAGAAAAAACGTGAGCATCTGTTTATAAGTTGGGTCTCTAATGGCTCGTCTCCAAACAGACATTAGGAATGAAGTGCAAAAAAAAAATCTTAAACAACTGCAAGCTTTCCAACAATGACAGTTCCCAGTAAGAGGTTTTGTTTTGTTTTCCTCTTCAGGGAAAATTTAGGAACTTTAAGAGGTACGTGGCTCATAGTACACATGTCACAAATGTTCGCTGGATATACGATGACAGCATGTTGGTGACCCTGGGAGGCTCCGATATGTCCTTGATGGTGTGGACCAACGAAACGGAGGGCTACCGAGAAAAGAGGTCTTGTGATAGTGAAGAATCCGATGTCGATTCTGAGGAGGATGGGGGTATGTCATTGTTGGGTATTTCATGTCAGCATGGCTAGAGACACACCTCTAGCAGAACGGGGTTTCGTTGGTGCCCAGCAGATCCAACAGGAAAGGAGCCCGTGTGAATCATTGGGCTTCTCGGGTTTTTGTTCCACTGGGCACCACCATGGATCTTGTAGCCCCAGATTCAAAGGGTGGCCTCTAGCAGTGGCTGAGAGAGTTGTCACCTGCAGATGCAAGCCAATCGTATTTTGAATGAGGATTATTCAGATGCATTGTATAATACTGAACTGCGAATCAAAGCATTTTGATTTACCCGCCCCCACCCAGATATAGCAATATCAGCTCATTATAGGAAAACTAGGCAATACAGTTTGCTGCAAAGAAACGTAGTCCCTTTGACCACTCTGAAGCAATTTCTGTTAGCACGTGGGGGACTATCCTTAAGGCCACATGCATTTATTTATACAAAGTATTTCGATAAAAAAATGACCATATTGAGCTGATCGTTCTACCCATTGGTGCTGCTGCATAAGGGGTCTGGTACACATTGGCTTGCTAACTGCACAGTGGTGATTCAGACCTAGCAGCTGCTCCGTGGAAGAAAGAAGCCACTTTCTGCTGCTGTAACGATCAACAGCCTGGGAAACCCGAGGCTGGGTTTTGCTGAGTTCGAACAGGCTCAAGGCTAAGGGGGTTGGTTTTGGTGAGTATTACTTAACAAAGCTCTGAGAACATCATTATGTTCCATTAAGTATTCTGCACCATCTTTAACTGCCTGCCTATTTCCCCAAAATTAGACTAGAGTGCAGTTCATTTAACTTATTTTGTCTTAAGCATCCTTGTACCCACCCAGTGTATAAACTCACACTCGATCTTCCTTGGCTGCCCCTCAGAAACATAATGTTTGCATTTTCACGGCAGGCTACGACAGCGATGTTACAAAGGAGAATGAAATCAGTTACACCATCAGAGCCTTAGCGACAAATATCCGTCCAATGTTCGGAACCAAGCCTCACTTACAGCAAAAAGAGCTCTCCGTAGACGAGAGGTAACTGTCAACTTTGATATTAGGCGAAGAAAAAGATACTGGTATTAAAGCCCAAATATATTATTTAACTAAATGGGTTACTTGCCAAAACTGTATAGCATGACAACACAAGAAGCTGTGTAGCTCCCGTGCTTCAGACGGTCCCTGGTACCACCTGGATTACACGCTTGTCTTTAAACCCTTTCCAGTGACACTTGGGGAATGATGCTATAGACACAATCTATATGATTAAAGTAATCTTTCTGGCTAATGTTTATATATGGGTGTGATGGGGCTGGAGGAGATCATAAACATTCAGTCTAATGCCAAGTGCTTTTGAGAAAGCCCCAGAGCAGAGGAATGGTGAATTTGGAAAGGGAATTGGTACACACATCCCTCTACCCAAAGATAATCCTTATCCCAAAATGTTTTCAAAACAAGCAAGTTTGAGGTGTGATGGCCCTCTTATGAGGACATCATACCTTGGTTTATAACCTACAAGTTTTAAAAATGTTAAAATAAGGATATGTGTGCAGCGGTTTTATGGGGAGAGGTCATTTTTTAAATCCCCAGGTGCTTTTAAAATTCCTTAGGGAAGAGGGGCAACAGTAAAGGGTCCTGTCCTTCAGTGAAGGGCATGGGGTTCCGGCACAAAGGGGGGTTAAGAAAGGATGGAGGGAAAATTATCCCAAGACAGCAGTGGAATGTTAGGAACACGCGGAGCCTCTCCTGCTGCAGAAGGCTACAATGGGCCACATTTCACTCTGGAACGTGGGGAGGGGGTTGGAGGGAAAGGTTAGCAATGAGGACGAGTGCCTTCATAGTTGGACATGGTTCGTGTTACATGCAAGTGACACGACAGTGCACAGGGTAGTGCTAGACCTTTGGGATTCTGCTCAGCAGACACGATGCCACAGAAAGCATTCGCAGGAGAGCACTGCTTTGCCCCCGTCTTCCTTCCATAAAAGGAGTGTGAACTAGAAGTTAGTGACGGGGAGCAGGAGTACCGCAGATTGTGTTAACTCAAGTGGCCCCCAAGATCCACAGGAAGTTCCAGGGGTGGTGCTGAGGCTGAGATGCCCACAGAGCTCCTCCTCTGCCAGGTGTGCCCGCTTGTGGATGGTACATGCCTCAGGTACTAGCCACGAGGGCCAGCTGGGGGAAAGGCCAAGGCTGATCATACTCCAGTCTAAACCCCTGCCCACGAGTCAAGGTTGGAGGGACTGGGTACAGGGCAGCATCATAACGCTGCAAAGGGCTTGGTTTGGGGAGTCTGACTAATGCAGTGGTTCTCAACCTGTGGGTCGCGACCCCCAAAGGGGTCGCCTGATTCATAACAGTAGCAAAATGACAGTGATGAAGTAGTAACGGAAATAATTTTGTGGTTGGGGGGTCACCACAACATGAGAAACTGTATGAAAGGGTCGCGGCGTTAGGAAGGTTGAGAACCGCTGGGCTAGAAGGTTGGATGGGTATAAGCATGATCCCAAAGGCAATGAAAGTTGAGAAGTATGCCTTATGACCAATTTGAAAGTATTTGTAAGGAAATCACATGATTTGCGTAAATAATTGTTTTCATGTTTTAAAGAAAATATACCACTGCTATCAAAGGAGAACCAAAATTCTTTATGCTGAATCATCCTCAAAATTTTCCCTCCCTACTCAAAAGGAAAGTGTTTCTGATGACAATTGATAACTTTACTATATTTGGTTGACATTTTGGTGAGATATTTTTTTCTTAAATAACTTAAGTTTCATATTTATCCTGTTATATAAATGTTCCATTAGCAAATCTTGATATTCCATTAAATGCCCTTCGAACTTTCCTCCAGAGGCAGAATTTTTTTTAATATTCAAAACAATTTGACTTAAAACGTAGCTATTTGGTGTTTACTTACAAGGTTCACAGGTCGCTTTTATTCTGCTTAAATAAATGCTACATTGTTATTGGTCATCGGTTTGCTTACCTGTTTCCTGGTTTCTCTCCCTCGCTCCTTTTGAAGGCAGGGGATAGTAAGGTAAGTGTTTTCGTCGGGAAGTTCCTTTGGTGTTTGTTTTGTTTCGATGTTATCCATGTTTTGATGCTATTTCAAGGTGTTGATGTTGCCTGCCCATGCCACAGTGAGCTGCCTTTCTCCAGAGAGAATGACTGAATTAGTGTGAATCCCCGAGAACTTGGCTTCGGAATACAGTATGTGGTGTTCTTGTGAGGGACTTCGCGATGATCGTGTGGTTTACAAAGAGTAACAAACGCCTATGGATGCAGGTACAGTTCTAGGGCCACTGCCCTGGCACTGTGGTCAGAATCAAGGAGCAGCTGAGCCTCTTCATGGAAGCGCGCCTTGCTCAGCCACCTGGGAGCTGCAGGTGCGGTGCCTGCCTTTCAGCAGTCAGCTGGCCGCCAGCAGAACCCGCTACTGGCCTTCATGAGTTGACTACCTCACCCTCAGGATGACAGACACTCAAATTGTCTTCTCAGTACCTGTAACATAGTTTTCCAAGCCAGCCATACCTCTGAATCTTTGCCGTTTGGTGCCAGGCAAAGTGAGGGGCTCTTTGCTTAGTTTGTAGGGAGGGTTGGTGGCGTAGTGGTTAGGTGTTGGGCTGCGAATCACCAAGTCAGCAGTTCTAAACTACCAGCCACAAAGATGAAGCTTTCTACTCCCAAAAAGTTCTAGTCTCAGAAACCCATAGAAGCAGCTCTGCCCTGTCCTTCAGAGCCCTAGGAGTCAACATTGACTCACTGGCAGTGAGTTTGGTTTGAGTTTGGTGGTTTGTGGGAGGAACCCTGGAGATGTAGTGAGTTACACATTGAGCTGTGAGCCACAAGGTCAACAGTTTGAACCCAGCATCTGTTCCCCAGGAGAAAGATGAAGCTGTGTACTCCTAAAAAGATGTAAAGTCTCAGAAACCCAATGGGGCAGGTCTGCTCTGTCCTGTAGGATCATCGAGTTGGGAATTCGCTCAGTATGATGATCTCGGTTTGGTTGTGTGGTGGTTTGCAGGCCCCGTGAAGCTCTTCTGTTGCGAAGCCTGGAATGGTGTGCTATCGGGGACCTTCTCTCTTGTTTTTCCTAAATCCATGAGTGGATAAAAATGGAAAAGCGTGAGCACAGCAGAATGATACAACAGCATTACATTTCAGAGGAGTCCTGTCCACTCTGCATTGTCAAGACCAAACCGAAACCAAACGCGCTGCCATCAAGTCCGTTCTGACTCAGTGACCCTGTAGGACAGAGTGGAATTGTCACTCTGTGTTTCCAAGATGATAGCTTTTCACAGGAGTGAAATTTCCCTCTTTCTCCTCTGGGGCAACTGGTGGTTTCAAACTGCAGACCTTGTGGTTGGCAGGCTAACCAGTGACCTCTAGGGCTCCTTCTTCAAGGGAGGGATGTGAAAGTCGTAAGGTTTGAATTGCTCAGAAGCTTGCTTCTAGTCCACAGTATAATGTCACTTGTAAAAGGGTCCATGGGATCTTACTCTGTTTTAACGGTAGCACCCAGACCAGTCTGATACCTAGGGTAGCTGACTTAGAACCAACCTGGGTTGGAAAGGTGACACTGAGTGTTTACAGTGCCTTTACGAGGCTCCGGGCCAAAAGAGAAGGCCCCTCCATGAGATGGATTGACACAGTGTCTGCGACAGTGGACCCATATACAATGGAGCGGGTGGTGTAGGACTGGGTGGTGTTTCATTCATGCTAGCAGTCAGAACCGACGTGACAACACCTAAGAAAAGGAGCCGGATGAAGAAAGGCAGGAAGCCATGGCATGTAAGGGTTTAGTGCTCTGGAAAGCATTTGTTTGAAAACGAGACAACCACGTGGAACGCCAGGTGCTGACTTGGGTGTGAATGACTCAGACTGTTCGGGTCCCTCTGTCGTGCCCACGTGCTCCCGACGGAAAGCTTGGAGCTTCCAGTCCACCCAGAGGTCCCTGGGCAGAAAGGCCTGGTAATTACTCCCACCCCAAACCAGCCAGTGGAGCCCAGGTCTGCTCTGAAACACACAGGCCACCACGCCTCAGACCAGACGGACTGGTTGTCCCTGCAATCAGCGTCCCGCAGTTTGAAGACCTCTTGCCAGCGGAGTCTAGGGGCGAGTTTGGGGATGCAGAGGAGATTCCGAAGGAGGTGGAGTGGGGGAGTAATGAGACACTCCCGATGCCTTCTTATTTGCCCCGCCATTTTCAGGGGGACACGTGTATGGTGCCTTCATAGTCCCCCAAGATGGGAAGGCCAGCATGGTTTCATAATCCTCCCTTTTGTTGGTCAGCGTGGGGCCACTTACACGCCCTGGACCGTTTCCTTACGAGCAGTCCTGGGCGCCAGCCTCATAGATTAGTCTTGACACGGTCTGCTGCCTTGTGGAAGAACAGTTATGTCCACCTGGATTGTGTGGAATTCAGACTACTGCCGAAAAGTAAGGAGGCTGAGCCTTACCAGGTACAACCAAGAACACAGCGATGAATTTGGATCCATTAAACTTTTCCATTGTTTTTCATCTAAGTGGCTGCCATGAATGGATTAGTTTAGACCCTCTCTTATGGGGCCTGGATCCAACACAAATTGGCTTTTAGTAACTGCAGTATCGATTATCTTCACTAACTTTGTGAACATGCTGTTTCGGGAAGGACTTTGCTAGTGTTTCCCACTGAAATTTGTGTTGTAATCTTTTCTCTTCTTTACTACCTGCTGCCAAGGGGTTCCAGGTAATCCTCTCTCTCTTTTTTACATCATTTTATTGGGGGCTCGTACAACTCATCACAATCCATCTATCCATCCATTGTGTCAAGCACATTTGTACATTTGTTGCCATCATCATTCTCAAAACATTTGCTTTCTGCTTGAACCATTGGTATCAGCTCATTTTCTCCCTCCCTCTCCCCCTCTCATAAACCCTTGATAATTTAGAAATTATTTTTGTTTTGTCATATCTTGCACTGTCCAGCATCTCCCTTCACCCACTTTTCTGTTGTCCGTCCCCCAGGGAGGAGGTTATATGTAGATCCTTGTAATTGGTTCCCCCTTTCCACCCCACCCTCCCTCTACACTCCCAGTATCGCCACTCTCACCACTGGTCCTGGAGGGTTCATCTGTCCTGGATTCCCTGTGTTTCCAGTTCCTATCTGTGCCAGTGTACATCCTCTGGTCTAGCCGGTTTTGTAAGGTAGAATTGGGATCATGATAAGGGCGGAGGTGGGGGCGGGGAAGCATTTAGGAACTAGCGGAAAGTTGTATGTCCAGGTAATCCTCTCTTGTCTGTGCTTACTAGGCCTCCTTTTGTTTCTGTCATTTTTATGTTTATCATGAATGAGCTGTGTCCTTTGCCTGTAGTCAGTTCTCATGGCCCCACCCCACCCCCACTCTCGGTATTAGCATCCCCGAAGTGAACAACCAGAGCCCTGGTGGTGTTGGGCTGCTATCCCCAAAGTCAGCAGTTCTAGACCACCACCGCTTCTCCGGAGAAAGACAAAGCTTTCTATTCGTGCAAAGAGTTAGTCTCGGAAACCCACAGGGGCAGTTCTACCCTGCCCTACAGGGTCGCTGTAAGTCAGAATCAACTCAATGGCTGTGGTTTTGAGAAGTGAATGGCATCCTTATTAGTGGATCTATAAGTAACAACATTGCAAAAATGTTACCCGTTTAACTTGTGTAACTTCACAAGTCATATCATATTTTAAACAACAAAACGACTTATGTAAATGATCTTGACACAATTAAAATATTCCCATCTATTGCAAAGGATTGCACAGATAAAAATGTTACTGTTCGTGTGTTTGGAGTGCCATGCAAGCTCTCAGGCACTAACATTGAATAAAGTCACAAACAGCATTGACCAGGGGAAACGCCACAGCTTCTCTCTTGCTGTGAACATGTCCCAGTAGAAGTATTTTACATGGTAAATAGTATAAATTTAGTTCTGTTTTTGTTTTATTTTGTTTACTCACGACCATTCAAAAGCATGCATGAGGAAGATTTGAAGGAACATTTCTGAGACAATTTTAATTCTTGATAAGTTCATTCCATCTCTGTGTCACCCATCAATCTGTGTCCCATACAGTTTATATTGTATATTGATCAAATGGATCTGAAATTCCATTAACTCTCAATTGCATTTTTCCACAAATTTCTTATAGGGCCCCCTTTATGGCATCATCAAGATCTAATGCTGCTTTTACTTTGTAGAGCTGTCTAGCTTTAAAATCATTTTTGAAGGGGCTTATAGATATTTATGTCTTTAATGTCACTTGATTTTTCTTAAGTGTTGGATATTTTCCCACAGTAATTGGCCTTTCTCACTCTCTGACTTAGTAGCTACTAAATGAACACCAACCTCTTATCGCTTTGAACTGAATACTGTTTTTGAAAATGAAATGAAGTTTCAGAGAAGACCCTCCCTATCTAAATGATTCAAATTGTGAGCATTGAATGGGATGCCTGAGCCTGGTGGTGCCGGGGTTAAAGCGCTGAGCTGCAAACGGAAAGGTTGGCAGTTCGAACCCCCAGCCTCTCTGTGGCAGAAACCCAGTCTGCTCCCATATAGATCATCCCTCTTGTAAGACGGCCGCTCGATAACATGGGCTCCAGGGCCAAGGCTATAACTGGGCAAAGAATAAGGGAAGGGGCAGAGTTGGCAGCCATCGCCGTGGTAATGCCCATTTCCAGAGTCTGGGATGGTGTGGGGCTCTGTGACTGGAAGATGTCTTGCTTGAGTAGCTGGCCGTGGTGACTAACAATGCTAGAGACCTGGGACAGAGGAGACAAACGGCAGGAAGGAGCAGGTGGTCATGAGCTAGGAGGTGTAGACATTTCCTAGAAATGCTGTCACCAGCCAAGCAGAGTGCAGAGTACCCCACCCGGTGGAAGACAGGCGTTGGGATGTGTTGAGTGGACAAAGCGAACCTTCGAATTGGTTTACGAACCCCCTGCTCCTGGGCTGTTTCAGGGATAAAACACCCACTGAGGAAAGGCAAAGGAAAGTTCTGGTGTTTTCTTCCCACCTACGTTCAGTAGAGCGCTCCGTCTCATGAGGACACGGGACGGCCAGCCAACATCCCTCCTGAGGGCAGGGGTGGGAGGCTCAGGGAGGGTGCTTGGCGCCTCACCTCACTCCCACTTCTCTGTTTCAGGCCCCCCGTGAGCAGGGCCCCGCCACAGCCAGAAAAACTCCAGACAAACAATGTCGGCAAGAAAAAGAAACCCATAGAGGTGGGCAGAGACACTCCCATCGTTGGCTCGTGTCTAGAATGTGCTTCCTTATCGAAAGCAGCCAGATCTCATCATTCCTTGTGCAAAGAAGCTGATTGACTCGTCTGTTTTGTTTGGTTATATAAAAAGTGTTTGCTTCACCAGTACCCAAGATTGCATTTTGAATCGTTAGTCTCTGTTCCCACCAAGTTTTGTGTTGCCGTTGTGTCCATTGTCTTTGACTTTTCCATGAAAAAAAAAAAAGCGCTGTATTGACCTGCCTCCCAGAGAACGTCGAGACCCAGAAACACAGAGAGGTTGTGTTGCTGACAGAAGCACAGCCATCCGCGCTGTGCCTTCTCCCTCGTGGTTCGCCTCATAAGTTGAAGGTGGCATGCGGATGTTGGCTCGGGGTTTTACCCGGGCTTGTGTGTGTCCTGCCAGGGCCAGGGAAGGCTCTGTGTCTCTCCGGGTCTCGGTTCCCAACCAAACTTTCCACAATAACAGCTATTGTGGAACGCGGTTTACCCCCAGTTCTGTCTGCAGATCAGATACCAGCCTAACGGTAACTAAAGTTCTGGCTTTCGGATGGCATTATGCTTCACTCTTTCCTAAACTTTCCTTCCGGGAGCGGATCCATCAACGATACACCCAGGCACTGACAGGTGTTTCTCAAGTGCCCGGACTCTGTATTTCAGCTCTCTCCAAAGCAGGGCGTGTGGAGAAGTAGGTCTGGCTTACCTTTGGGTTTCAAGTTTGTCACCCAAAAAAACGAGTCCTCTGTTTTGACAACAATGTCAAATCTTTATACTGTGTCTAAAACAAGCTAAGGGTGAGTGTTCAGATGTGGGGAAGAATACCACTGTGTGATGCTTGTACCATTATTGTTCCAGGACCTGGTGCTGGAGCTTGTGTTTGGCTATCGAGGCCGAGACTGTAGGAACAACGTGCACTACTTAAATGACGGTGATGACATCGTTTATCACACGGCATCGGTTGGAATTCTGCATAACGTTGCCACAGGTCAGGAAACCTGATTCTCCACACACACTGCTTTCTGATACATTTTATTTAGAAACTTAAACGTATTCTTGGAGCCTTTCTACTAAAGCTACAAGTAATAGCTGCAATGGATCAGTCTACAATCTCAGTGTTACGTACTGTAGCACTTCCTCGTAATAGTTCAGGCCCTCTTAAGCAACTGTAACACAGCAGAAAAACCCATCATGCAAAGTGCTCATGGATTTCTACTAGCGTGGAGGTTTACTGTGTGTTGAAACTGTGTTTTGTAATGAAACCAATTCCCCATCACGGCATCATGAAAACAAATGGTGTCTCTCGCATGGTGATCGGGTGATGGTCGGGCAGAGTGGGCGTTCTTCCTGAGCCTTGGAAAGCCCAGGAAGACAGTTAGACAACTGCTAGGCTGCCTCTCTGCTGGTGGTACCTTGCTTGATCCAAGAAGATACATAAACATCAAGAACTATATTCCTGACTGATGAGGTCGTTGGGAGCAAAGAGAGTTTTTTTTAAGTCATTTGATGACCACGATGTGATAGTTTTGAACTGCTGACCTTGCAGTTATCAGCGCAGCGCATCACCACTGGGCCAGCGGCCATGCGTCCTTAATTTTGAATTCTGCAATATCGCATGTAATATTGCAAACTAGATCAAGTCTAAAATGTAAGTCCGCTGTTCCTGATGTTCCTCCTGATCCCTTCACACACACACACACTCACACACACACACACACACACACACAGCTTCACTTTCATTCATCAACGTGGTCCTTCTGCTTTCGTTTCCCAGGGAGTCGCCAGGAAACCCTCTAACAGAAATCACTGGCAGTCTCCCACCTAAACTCGAGGCCATTTAAAAAGTTCTGCTTCAAGAGAAGATCCTCTTGGTTTGAGGCTTGAAGGGCCCTTCAAAGAATGAGAAAGCGCAGGAAAGACGAAGGACGGGAGTGTAGGACAGAGGGAACTCTCTGGCACGGGCGGCCCTTCTGGGTGCTTCTGGGGGGCTCCTGGCGGCCTGCCATTGTGCGGTGTGCGTGGGACTGCCAGCTGTGGGGTCTGCAGCCACTTCTCGGGAGAAGCACGAGCCGCTCCCTTCCCATAAACAGTTACCGTCTCGGAAGCCCCCGGGCAGCTCTACTGTGACTTGTGGGGTCGCTATGCGCTGGAATCCACTCGAGGGCAGTGAGTGTGGTTTTTTGGAACAGGTCTGGGATCCTTGCTCTGTTCACAGTCAAAGACCCATGGAAGTATGAGCTAGTGCTGAAAAGACAGCCTTCCAACCACTTACCTGACGGGTGCCATGTGCCCCCGAGGACACTGGTTGCTTCTGCCCAAACTCTCACTGCATCTTGATGCCTGATATTTGTGATACGCGGGACATTCAGCCTTGTGTGACATGGTTTAAGAGCCCCGGTCGCATAGGGCTTCCGAGTCGGGCTGCTAAGCCAACGACCTGCAGTTTGAAACCACTAGCTGCTCCTCAGGGGAAGACGGGCTTGCGCCTTCTATCAAGAGTGCCAGTCTCGCAGACCCACAGGGCAGTTCTGCCCTGTCCTCTAGGGCCACTGTGAGTGGCTTTGACTCCACCGCAGTGAGTTAAATGACAGTTTCTTCTTTTAAGTGGGCTATCCTGATAGGCTTCTGATGCATTCTGCAAATGTACTCATGTTCAGTGCTCCAAAACCACATGTTAAGTAAGCCAGGAAACTGAACAGAGCAGCTTGCTATGTTGAGTAAGTTGCCTTTGGTTGTCATGTATACATTCTCCAGCTCCTTTTTCAAATTCTTCTGTTTACAGGGACGCAGAGCTTTTACCAGGAACACAGCGACGACATTCTATGCCTCACTGTAAATCAGCACCCGAAATTCGTCAACATAGTGGCAACTGGCCAAGTAGGTATGTTTCTGTATTTTAAAAAAGAAACAATTTGAAGCGTTTATCTTGATCATGTAACTTTAGTATCTTAGGAAGAAACAGTGTAAGATCGGCATACCGGAAGCTTACTTAGTTTAAATGATCAGTCACTTTCTTCTAATCATCCTTCGTTCACGTTGGCGGCCTGACTTGGTTCAGGCGATTCCGAATTTAAACTACCTTGCGGTAGCTGATGTAGCTGGATTGTGCGGACATTTCTGGGCAAAGGTTCCATTCCTTAGTGTGTGAGGCAGCCGGGAAGGATCTGAACAGGAGGGGTAAATAGGGGGAGACGAGAAGTCACGAGGCCAAGACAGCAGAACCCCGTTTCAGTCAGGATAGCTACACTAGAAGAAAGGACTCGAGTCTGTTTCGTGTTGGTAAATCCCTCCCGCCTCTTTCCTTGTTTTTATTGACATTGATCTAAAATTCCCTGATTCGTAACTTTGTAGAAAACTGAAAGTTCATAACTCTACAATCAAAGGGGTGAGAGGTTTATTTATGACATATTTACCTGTCGGATCATTGATCCCTCTGGAAACTGCGGGAGCCCAACAGGGGCGAACAGAGCCTGCTCAGCTGCTTGCTGAAAGGTTGGTGGTTCGAATTCACCCAGTGGCCACACGAGGGAAAGAACGGGCAAGCTGCGCCCATAAAGATGACGGCCAGGAACATCCTATGGCGCGGTTTTCCTGTGTCACCCTGGGGTCGCCGTGCACTGGGGTCACTGACCGCTGCCAACGACAATAGGGGTACCACTTGTAAGAAATAGCCTTGGCCCATCCGCTGCCCACAGCTCCTGCATGATTTGTCAGAATGATAGAGATCACTGGTTGGTTGGCTCTCGGTGCCTCAAGGTAGCTTTCTAGGTGTCTATTTTTTTTCAAAGAAGATAATATAAATCTGTATATTGCACAAAAGTAGTTAAATGGATTAGTCCTGAAATTGGTTCTGGTTTGCTTGGTTCTATGGTTATTCGACCTAGATTCTTGGATTTTTTTCCCCCTTCCTGTAGCATTTTCTACTTTTAAAAGAAAACAGACCATTTATCTATTATATACAAAGGACTGTGGTCTTTGGCTATAAATGCCGAGGTCTAATTCCTGTTTAGTGTTAAAAGTCCAACTGTCACTGTGAGGGCTAAGTCTGCCACAAGCCATGATATTTTCCGTCACCTTTTATGGGTATAAAATCTGGACAAACGAGTAAGGCAGCCCAAGGGAGAAGTGATGCCTTTGAACGAAAGGCATTGGCAAAGAACAGTGAATGTAGAGGAGACGGCCGGAGAATGCACAAACCTGTCTGGGAAGAAGTGTAGCCAGGCTTCTTGGTGACATTTCATCTTGAGGACTGTGGACATGATCTCAGGAGGGGCCAGTCCTGAGAGAAGGACAGCATGCCTCCTAAAGGAGGGGTCAGTGAAAGAGGAAGACCCTCAATGAGACAGATGAGTCCAATGGCCACGATAGACCCAAACACAGCGGTGCTGCCCTGGGCAGTGTTTTGTTCTACCCAGAAGCCACTAGGGGTTGAAACTGGCGTGGTGGCACCTAATAACAGGAAGCCTGGTGGTGAAATGGTTAACGAGAAGGTCAATAATACGAAACCCACCCCACCCCCACCTGCCCATTCCCTACCTGGAAAAAAAGAGACCTAGAGGTTCCAATGAAAATGACGCACTGCCATCGAGTCTAACTCATAGTGACCCTGTAAGATAGAGTGGAATTGCGCCCTGGAATTCCCAAGACTGTAAATCTTGACTGGAGCAGACGACCTTGTCTTTCGCCCTTGGAGTGGCTGGTGGGTTTGGACCACTGACCACAGCACCACCGAGGCTCCGCTCATAAAGATTCCAAAACACTCCAACCTCATGCCATCGGGTTGATTACAACTCATAGCCACCCTCTATGACAACATAGAACTGCCTCCGTGGGTTTCTGAGACTGTAACTCTGTCATGGGAAAAGAACACCTCGTCTTTCTCCCTCAGAGGTGGCTGGTGGTTTCGAACTGCTTACCCTGTGGTTAGCAGCCCAACACAAAATCCCTACATCACCAGGACTCCCCTCATAAAGATGACAGCCTATAAAACCCTCTGAGGCAGTTCTGTTCTATCATACTGGGTCTTTATGGTGGCACACAGCAGTGGCGGCAACCCTGATTTGTGTGAACATTGTGAAAAATGCGGTCTTATTTCCACTGTGCATGAGGAGCAAGGCCCAGATTTAATGAAAGAGAAACTGTTGACAATCTGGCTATCAGAGCACTAACTCCGTGCCTCTTGGAACTTGGTGAATTGTTTAGTTCAATTTTACTGAGGAAATTCATTCATTATTGAGCACCTACCATTTGTGAGGTACTGTCTCCGTGCTTCAGAAACAAACAAAGCCCTGTATTTACTTTATCCTCTGGGCAAAGAATTCCAGAAGGTCTGTTCCTTGCTTCTTCTGAAAATTTAGGCTTGGTGATAGAAATGCTGCCGAAATCACGGGGTAGAATTTTGAAAGACCAGTAACTTCTTCCTTCCTGGAAACACATTTTTCAACAGTGTGAACAACTACACCCAGCCCAAATGCAAAGCAACACTAAGCTTTCCCAAACAAATCCACATATAAAGTAGTCACATTTGCATGCCAAACAGGATTGTTTTCTTGATATTCAAATCCAGACACACCTCATTAAGATAAAAAATAGTACAAAGAGGAAGAAATTCTGAAAAGTAGCTGAAGAGGTGCTGTAGGCTGATATTGGACTGTGAAAGGCAAGGCCAGCGGTTCAAACTCATGAGCCACTGTGCAGGAGAACGAGGAGACTGTCTACCCACATGAAGATCTGTGTTCACAGAAGCCCTGCAGAGCAGCAACCCTCTGTCCTGTTGACGGTCGCTATGCATCAAATTCAGCTTCACAGTGGATCTGGTTTGGTGTTGGTATACCAGATGAAAAACACAGAAATCAACTGTGCCTCTGTGGAAAACACTGTGGAGAGGCCGAATGTCATGAGTCAGAATAAGTCCCGGGGCTCCCTGCAGAACAGACTATCCATTCCTTCCGTGCATTTCAAGTGGAAGCTGAAAGATACTACAGCAAATCCCTGCTGGCAGAACTATGATCTTGAGTACGTTCCCCCTGAATTCGGAGAGCATCTCAAGGATGGATTTGACTCCTTGAACACGAATGACCAAAGACCAAATGAATGTTAGACAATATTCAAGGACAGCATGCATGAAGTGACGGTCATAAAAAGACAGGAAGGAAAGGAAAGACTTAAATGGAGGTTACAGGAACTATTATAAAGAAATGATTAAGCAAAAGGCTAAAGAGAAGATTTCAAAGTAGAAGACAAAGTATTGTAACTAAATGCTCAAGGAATTAAACATCCAAAAGGAAATAATACTCAGCATTCCTCAAGATGAAAGTACTAAAGAAAGAATTAAAGTCTCCAGTTGCAATATTGAATAATTCTATGGACAAAATATTGAACAGCACAAGAAGCACCAAGGAAAGATGGAAGACAGGCAGAGTCATTGTTACAACCCACCAGCCACTCCGTGGGAAAACAGATGAGGCTCTCTAGTCTTGTAAAGAGTTACAGTCTTGGGGCAGTTCCACCCTACCTACGCTACTGGGTCACTCAGTGGCAGTAAGTGTGGTTTGGGTTTGAGTACCCAAACATATCAGTTGATGTTCAATCACTTGAAGAGGTGGCATTTGATCAAGAACTAATGGTATTGGAAGAAGTCCAAACTACACTGAAGGCATTAGCAGAAACCCAACCCAACCCAAGCGCTCAGGAATTAAGGGAACACCACATGAGATGACAAACAGATGCCATGCGGGAAGCAGTCCTCTTGTCTGTGCCAAGAACTCTGGAAGACAGCGACATAACCACATCATGGGACAAGAGCCGTATTCATGCCCATTCCAGACACAGTAGCAGAAGGTGTCAATGGACACTATCGTTAATACCATGTGCAAATAAAATGTTGAAGACAATTCACAGATGGTTGCAACAGCACATCAACAGGGAGCCAGATTCAGAAGAAGACATGGGAACAAAGATACCATTGTTGATGTCAGATGGGTCTTCAGTGAAAGATAATACCAGAAAGGTGTTTATTGTGGGTATTGATCACACAAGGGCATTTAACTGTGCAGGTCATAACAAATGATGGATTGTCACTTTGCAAAGACAGGGAATTCCAGAACACTTAATTGTTAATCATGCAGAACGTGTACATAATCAAAGAGGCAGTTGTGTGAACTGAACAGGGAGCCACTCACTGCCTGGTTTCACATCAAAAGGAAAGCTATGTGTCAGGGTTGTATCCTTTCACCATAACTATTCGATCCATATACTGAGCAAATAGCCCAAGCAGTGGGAAGTCAGCATCAGGATTGGAAGAAGATTCATGAATAACACGACACAACCTTGCTTGCGGAAACTGTAGAACACTGGAAACGCTTCCTGATAACTGTCAAAGACTTCGGCCTTCAGTATGGGTTATGTCTCCACATGAAGAAGACAAGAATCCAAACAGGCAACAACATGCACAATAAATGGGGACAGGAGTGCCGTTATCAAGCATTTCATTTTACTTGGATCTAAATTAAGCTTGTGGCAGCAGCATTCAAGAATCAAATGATGTGCGGCCATCTAGCTGAGAAGCAACAAAGCCCACATGGAAGGAGCACACCAGCCTGTGTGCTCATGAGGTGTCGATGGAATCAGGTATCAGGCATCAAAGACCCAGAACAAACAATCATATCGATGTGAATGAGGGGGCGTGCAGAGCGGAGACCCAAGTCCATCTGTAAGCAATTGGACATCCCCTTACAGACGGGTCATGGGGAGGAGACAAGCCAGTCCAGGTGCAGTATAGCACTGATGAAACATACAACTTTCCTCTAGTCCTTTAACGCTTCCTGTCCCCCACTATCATGACCCCACTTCTACCTTACAAATCTGGCTAGACCAGAGCATGTACATCAGCACAGATAACAGCTGCAAACACAGGGAATCCAGGACAGATGAACCCCTCAGGACCAATATTTAGAGTAGTGATTCCAGGAGGGGAAGGGGAAGGTCGGGGGAGGAAGGGGGAACTGATCACAATGTTCTATATATAACCCCCTCCCTGGGGAACAGACAACAGAAAAGTGGGTGAAGGGAAACATCCGTCAGTGTAAGACATGAAAAAATAATCATTTATAAATTATCAAGGGGAAGGGAAGAATGGAAGGGGAGGGAGGGGAAAAATGAGCTGATACCAAGGGCTCATGTAGAAAGCAAATGTTTTAAGAATGATGATGGCAACAAATGTGCAAATGTGCTTGACACAATGGATGGATGGATGGATGGATGGATGGTGATAAGAGTTGTACGAGCCCCCAATAAAATGATAAAAAAGAATCAAATGATGTATCTCTTTGGGTAGATGTGCTGAGAAAGAGCTCTTTAGAATGTCGGAGAGCTCAGATGTCACTCTGAGAAGCAGCACGTGCCTGACAGCCCACGGTGGTCCCCTCTCCTTGGTGGTCCCCTCTCCTTGTGTGCGAGTGAGAGCCGACAGTGAGTAAGGATGCCGAGGAAGGATCTTAGAATGATGGTGCTGGTGAAGAATTCACAGTAGAACATGAACTGCCAGAAGAATGAGCGAATCTGTCTTGGACAAAGTCTCGTCAGGATGCTCCTTAGGGGCGAGGATGGAGAGACTTCGTCTCATGGACTGTGGACATGCTGTCAGGAGGGACCAAGCCCCAGCAAGGACATCCAGCTTGTTCAAGTAGAGGGCCATTGAACAAGAAGGAAATGCTCAGATTGGCACTGACCGCAACGGTGGGTTCAAAGAGCAACCCCCGTGAGGATGGTGCATCCGGAAACTGCGTTGGGGCCACGCCGGACTTCCTTGGGCTCCCAAGGCACAAGGCAGAACTCAGACCTCTCTCCACCCTCTGTCCCTTCTTATCTTATTCTGACAACCCCGCCCCTTGCACAGCACTTGCCAAGGCTGCATAGGACTCACAGATCATGAATGCTTGTGATTTCGGGGCTCCCCAGGGACGTTCACAGGCTAGACTTCAGGTGAGGGCTCAGGATTCAGTTGTGCAGTCAGGACAATTCTCTGTTGTGCCCTCAGGTAAGGCCTCTCCGTCTGTCCTCAGTTTCTTGGCCTGGCCTCTGTCCTGCGTGGGCAATGTGATGGAGCTCTTTGGGGGCAGCCTCAGGCCCTCCATCAAGGCTTTCAGCTCCAGCCTTCTGCCCCAGAGCACTCAGCTTTACCTGCTCTGTGGGCTGGGAAGTCACAGCTCGGGTGCCTGCTCCTGCCGTTGTTGCTCCTCTGCTGGCAAAGCCATCTCCTGGATCAAAGATGCTCCGTGTCCAGCGTTCCCAGTGCCCCCCGCCTGGCTCTTCTCTCTGCTGGTAGTGAGATCCCTCCCTTCCTGCTGCTGAGATGACTCATTCTCTACCGGGCAGGATGGCAATCACAGTGAACTCTGGTCACCCTCGCTCACAGCTGAATTGTATCATTCAATCAGTGTCTTCCCCCCCTTCTGACCCCGACGTCACCATCAGGAAAATGAACAGTGTTTGCTAGAACAGGCGTATTGAATAATTCACAGCATTCAGGCCCAGGACCGGGCAGCGTCTTGTTCTGTTGTACATCGGTCACTGTGAGTTCAAACAGATTCACCAGTACCTGAAAACAGCAAGAAGACTGTTCTCTCATTTCCCAATGTTGATCTTTTTCTTCTTGACCCTCCTTTTGCTCTGCTAAGCAAGGTTCTTTCGTATGTTAATGCTGTGCTTTCTCTTGGAGCTGAGAAATGGTCTGATCCCAAAGTCAGCTCCAGGAAAGCTTGTCCCTTGTTCCCGTTGCATTCCCTGTACTTAGAACACGGAGTGGCTGACCACCTGCCCCTCTCCCTGAGCCAGTGAGGGGAAGTCCAGGAGGCAGAGGTGAATGCTGGATCATGGACAGCCATCGGCTGTGCGCTCTACTTGTGCACTTCACAGAATAGATACAACAAAAATATTTATGAACGACTACTAACTCCAGGGGCGACCAGCATGTGAGCAGGGCCTTTCTCTGTTGAAGCTAAAGAGAATAGTCTCGGTAGTTACTTTGCTCCCAAGCTGGTTCAATAGGTCTTTTGTTGAGCATCCTAGAGACCGTGGAGGAATTCAAATGTTTCATCTTGTGGCAGTTTGGGCCCAAAAGGAAAGGTATACTCAAACATTTCTCTTGGTTAGGGTCTTGGAACCTCAGGGCCAAACTTATCATGGGATCCAGTTCATTATATCTCCTCCATCATCTCTCCGATAAAAGTCCCTCCTGCCACTGGCCCTGTGATAAAGTTATCTAACCTCTTCTCTAAAGTGTGTCGTAAAGAACAGAAATCTGCCTACAGTTGCTATTTATTGGTCCTCACTGAAGGCCATGGCATTGTCTTCTAATATTTGGAGACAACTGTCATACTCTCCCTGGGTCTTGCTGCCCATAGACTCAAGCAAGGGGGGCATCTGCTCTAAACCTCATGCTTTAGAAAGCCGCTGTGCACATCTTCTAGCTCAGCTCCATGGAGCAAAGGGTGCGGCAGAGCAGTGGGGTCACTTTTATCGGGAAGCCGACCCCTCTACCTTACTTCCTTCTAGACTCTGCTCTGGGATCCCAAACCTCAGAGGACACTCCCCAATGTCCTGAACTTGACTCCCGGTCTGACTCAAGCCCTTGCCTGAGACCATCCTCCTAAATAATGGATTTTCACCGCCAACGTGTGCAGTGCTTAGGGGTGGTCACTGGGGCATAGATGGAGTTGGGATGGATTACCCTATATTAATCGCCTTGGCCCCCTGTGGTCTAGATGAAGCGAGGGTGGGAAGAGAAGGGGACAGGCCAAGGCTGCCTTGTGCGATCCTGAACGCCAAGAAGTCCTCATTCGAACCAAGCCTTCCAGCTCACAGAGGCGTACTTGCCCTTAAAAAGGGCTTGGACATTTATCAGCTTTGGCTTGTGTGATGAGAGTTCTGTCTGTCCTGTTTAGGCTTTCATGTGTATTCTCATCCGCGGCTGTGCAGATGCTCAAGGGCAAACCTGATCCTACACACACACACACCTACTCCCCAGTCTTGCAGCCATCCGTCATGGGCACAGCTTCATGTTCTCTCATCATTTGGTGCCCCTCAGAGCATGTTCTGAAATAACAACAGTGCTTTTTGTGGGGGCTGCTCAGTGCTTTCTTCTTTCCCCTCCTCTCCCAAGGCACGATACCATCGGCCTCTGTTAGCACGAAGTCCTGGAAACCCTTCTTCCATGGGCTGTTGAAGACAGAGCTGGCTCCTTTCGTTCTTGCTAAAGAATCGTGCAAACTGTGGTCCATAGCCATTGCCACCACAAATAGAAAAGGAGCCTTGGTGGTGTAGTAGCTTAGGTGTTGGGCTGCTGAGCCACGAGGTCAGCAGTTCCGACCCCCCAGCTGCTCCATGGGAGAAAGAGGAGGCTTTCTGCTCCTGGAAACATTTAGAAAGCATGTGCTTTCAAGGTTCCTGGGAAATCTTTTACTCCAAAGGAAAATTGTAGTTGAAACATTATAATTGGGTATTAATTTGTAGGCAGAATTCAGACCTTTTTCTTTCTTGGGTTACATCGAAACTTCTGCCATCATTCCTTTTTAAAACAGTGTAGCTCAGCACCTCCCCTGTAACTAGAGATCCATTGAAACTCCTAAAATCCTTTAAAGAGTACCTCTTGGGACGAGAATAAAGGCCGCCTCATTGAATATCATGTCAATATTATTTTTTTAATCATCACTCAGTTGTCATGTAATTCATTATTTGCGAAGAAAGTCTTCAAGCAAAGAGATTGGAAGGTAGCGAGAATGCTAATATGAATGTACTGTGGAAATATGGACTTTTTTTTACTTTGAATAATTTTCTAAATTTAATGTCATACCATGAGTTATTTTATTGTTATTTAAAATCACTCTTTTAGAGTTAGGGTTTTGCAGATTTTACATTTAGTATTCATGCTGTTTATGGATAATTCTTTTGCTGCTTTTCCATTGTAGGTGATTCAGCAGACATGTCAGGTAAGGAAAATTTAACATTTTCTGTCTTAGCTATTTTGTTTAAATATGACACTCTGATTTTCTTTAGAGTAGTAAGATGCTCCAACCTACTCTGACTTTTGAAAATGAAAACTGCATTCTTATGATATCATGAGAGTGAGCCGGATCTGGTATAATAATGGCCAGAGAAGCTGATTTGTTTTCTAAATCTATTACTTTTTTTTATCTTTTAAGTATGCCCTGCATTGTTATAAGACCTTTACATGAATTAACTTATTTAGTCATCAAAAGGATTCTTACATACCAATATCATATTTGCGGAAAGACAGCCCAGCTGGCGGTCTTAGGTAATCAGCAGGCTGCGCACTGAAGACCAGTGGTTCACACCCGCTCGCCCCAGCGGCTCCTCAGCAAAAAGACCAGGCTGTCTGCTCTCTGAAGGCTTACAGCAGCGGTCCTCCCCCTTCCTCATGCCGCGACCCTTTCAGACAGTTCCTCATGCGGTGGTGACCCCCAACCATAAAATTATTTTCGTTGCTACTTCATCACTGTCATTTTGCTACTGTTATGAATCAGACAACCCCTGTGAAAGGGTCGTTCGACCCCCAGGTGGAGAACCACTGACTTAAAGCCTTGGAAGCCCTATATGCTGTTACTATGAGTCAGCATTACTCACGGGCAGGGGCTTTAAATGATCAAGCATTCTACTGACTAGTAGGTGAGAAGAGTTCAAACCCACTCACTGACAACTCCAGAGATAGGACTCCACCTGCTTCTGCAAAGTCTCACACTTGAAAGTCACTGCACATACGGGGTCGCCATGAATCAGGATCAACGAGACAGAAGCTGACAAGAACAGCTGGTAACTCGGAACTCCATTCACTCTCAAAGACTGGACCATCATTTCTTTTAGGAGTTCGTATGGGAAATAGTAGCTGAATACCTAGACTTGGCCTCCCACACAGCAGTTTGAGGGCTTAGTCATAGGAAAGTTTGAAGGTCAATTCTGAAGCTCTGGATCAAGACTGAAGGAACTCTGGTGGCACCATGAGATAAGCATTGGTCTGCTATCCACAGAGTCAGCAGTTCAAACCCACCAGCCGCTCTGCAAGAGAAAGATGAGGTTACAAAGGTTTACAGTCTCGACAGAGTTGCTATGAATAGGAGTCAACTCCAGGATAATGGGTTCGGATTAAGACTCAAAATCTTCAGGAGGAGAATTACCATCAACCACTATTATCGAACACCGAATCACTTTGGAAATTAGCTTTGGGTGTAGACGTTAGAAATGTTTTGTGATGAATTCAACCTAAAATAACAGCACAAAACAGCAGATTCTGTGATGGTCATTTGATTTCAACTAATGTTTGAATCCCAGTAATGTCAGGCTGCCTGGTACTTTCCTTGTGCTATTAAGACTTAAAACAGGAAGGGAGGTCTCCATTCCTACAGGGATTTTCAGCCAATGTATTTTCCGTGCTCACGCTACTGCTTAAGTCAAATTCTTTTCCAGAATTTGATGCAAGGACCAAAAAATAATGCACACATAAAAAAATCTGTGTTAATTATCAAAGTGAGGAACTTCTTGCCTAATCTTCAATTTAAGATGTATATTCTACAATGCAATAAAGAGCAAAGAGCACAAAAGACTAATCGAATTCTCAAAAGGCTTTTCTAGCAGTGTGTATACTCAGTTAAAATTAGATGTTTGTAGGTTGATAACAGAATTTAACAGCATCTGTCTAGGAGCCCTTGTGGCACAGTTGTTATGAATTGGGCTGTTAACCACAAGATCAGCAGTTTGAAACCACCAGCTGTCTCATGGCTTTCTTTCTACTCCTGTGAAGGGTTAGTCTTGGAATCCCACAGGGGCAGTCCTATCCTATCCTATAGAATCACTATGAGTCGTAATTGACTCGATGGAAGTGACTTTTTTCCTTTTAATCTGTGTAAAAAGACATTTTGGATGTTGGTTGTAAAATCACATTGTAAATCCATGTTCACTGGTGAACATTTGCAATCAAGTTTGATAATAGAGAGCTGTAACTTTGAACCCCAATTAAGTGAAATGTGATCCCACAGATTATCCTACTCTTCTTCTTAAACCCAAACCAACCCACTGCCATTGAGTGGATTCCAACTCATAGCAACCCGACAGGGGTTCTGAGACAGGAAGTCTTTGTGGGAGCAGGCAGCCTCATCTTCTCCCACAGACAGCTCATAGGTTTGAACTACTGACCTAGAAGTTAGCAGCGTGGCACCTAACCACAGTGCCACCACGTCTCCTTATAAGTGCTAGCTATGTGTTGTAATTGTACTTTTTTTTTTTATTAACCATTTTCTCAATAAAACGGTGAAAATGTGTTATCTCTCTCATGACATCAATGCTGTCTTCAGGTACTGAGCATATTGTAGTCTGCTGCCGTCCCACCTCGTTGAGACTCTTCCTTTTGTGCCCCTACTGTACCAAGCACGTCCTCTTCCGGGGATCAGGTCTTCCTAATGACACATCGCCAGTACAAGAGACAAAATCTGCTCATCTCACTTCTCGGGGCATTTTGGCTGGACTTTCTCCAGCACAGATGTGATGGTTCTTCTGGGAAGCCATGGTAGATTCAATAGTCTTTAGCCAACCCAAGCCAAAGGCATTCGTTCTTCACGTTTTTTGTCCCACTTTCTCATGCATAAAGGTGATTGAAAATACGTGACCCGGGTCAGGAGCACCTTAATCGTCAAGTGACAGCTAAAGAGGCCTTGTGCAGCAGTTTTGCCGAATGCAGGGTACATACACCCTCTGAGTTCTTGACTGCTGCTTCTGCGGGTGCTCCTTGTGGACCCACGTAAAATTAATCCTTGATCATTTCATTGTCTACCTGTTGATTATGATGTTACTTGTTGATCCCGATATAAAGGTTTCCTTTTTGGTTGAGGTGCCGTGCATCCTGCAGGCTGCCTCTGGGATCCTCATGACGAAGTGTGTCAAGCCCTCTTTGCATGGCTATCTCTGTCACCTACAGATAAGTACCTGTGTGATACCTTGGCTTTTGCCTCTTCCCTGCCCCTTAACCAACAAACGTTTGCCAGTTCCTGCTCTAGAGGGAGACAGACTATAGCTAAGTAAAGTTTTAAACTAGCAAGATGGTTTACAATGGTGATAAGTATAATAAAGTGATAGGGGTTTTCTTTCTGGTTTTTTTTGTTTCCCTTAGAGACGGGGCGTTCAGCTATCAGCCCAGCATGATAGCGAAATGACAGCCCTGCGGTGAGCTGTGACAGGGGTTCTAGACTGAGACCTGCTTTGAGGGTCCCAAGCTGACCCACCGTTTCCCAAAAAAGCCAACAAGACTCAGAGCAGAGACTGTGAATCAGGAGGGGGGTTAGAGCATCTAATAAGAGCAGAGACAGCCACCACAGGCACGGGAAAGAATGGGGGAGGGTACCGAGAAGTACAGTCAAGCGCTGTCTCTGCCTGACTCTGGGCTGCCCTTTCCTCTCCAGTTAGACTCTCTGGCACCGGAATTCTTAAGCTAGCAAGAATAGAAACCATAGATGATAGATTAGATAGATAGATAGATAGATAGATAGATAGATAGATAGATAGATAGATAGAGTCTAAATTCTTGGCTGTAATACAATCTGCCCCATTTAATAGATCATACCATGATGTTACTATAATTTGTTTAGTCTTTTAATTGTGCATAGTCTGAACTTAAAAGTAAACAAAATTTTAAAAGGAATTTAAGGAGGTCGTAGGTTGGAGGAGCTGGGCAAGTGGGTATCAGTTTGAAGAGAATAAAGTTGAAATGGTTACTTTGGCATGTGGGAGAGGAAATACCTACGTTAGAAAAGGTGTGGTGTGATGATCATTTTGATACATTAGCTAGGCTGTCATTGGATGTATACATTTTGATCCATTCGATATGTACATTTAGATACATATTAGATATTCGTGTAGGAAACATTTGACTTAGTAGGGAACAAAAACTGTGCCAGCCCTTAGTAGGGAACAAAAACTGTGCCAGCCCTTAGTCTCTGGGACTAAGAATTTGAACTTCCTGGCCCTGAAGATACTTCCACCACGAGTGAGGGCCATGGCCTTGATCGCCGTTTGCGTCAGGGTCCCCGCGCCTGGTCTCTCTGCTCGGACAATAAGGAAACGCATTAGCACGCCAGTCAGACGGGCAGGCGGTCTCAGACCTGCGCTTGCTCGTTGAGGACCACCACGGCGTCGCGTCGGGGGCCAGTACAGATGGCCACCATGGTGGTGTTGACTCAGCCATCAGGTGGTGACAGGGTGGCTGCCTGCCACAAGGGACAGAACTTTTTTGTTCTCGTTTTTGGCGCTGGGACCTCACAGCCCCCCAGGTAACATGGCGAGTGGCCGTTTTTCAAATGATGGACACTTAAACAGACTCAAAGCGAGGTGTCCGAGCCTCGTCATGTAGAGGGGCCCCGGTGTTTACAGGCATTTTATTTCAAGTACGGCCCCCGATGTAAACACTCTGTTCCCCACTGCCACCTGTCATATGGTTGAAAACGTAACTCCCTGCAGGCAGTGTCTAGCCACCCCCTTGACCGTGAGCAGCTCGGTCATTCGAGTTGCTATCTACGTGTTTGATCAACAGAACGCATTTGAAATCGGGAAGCAAAAACCACCTGCTGGGGCATCTTGACCGTCCGCTCCCTGCCCCCGCGTTTGGCCGCCTGTCTTCTGCGAGCTGTGCAGAGTGGCATTTTGTAAACAGACGTCGCGATGCTTCTCTACTGAGCACGGGCCAACAAGTGTGGGGTCATCTACCATGTCGGCCGTCACCTTCGCGCACTCACCCACTGACCAGAGACTGGCAGTTTGAACCACCCAGCGGCTCCACAGGAGGGAGACCTGGCAGGCCGTCCCTGTCGCCATTACACTGGGAGCCCGAGGGGGCCCTTCCCCCAATGGGCCCTCGCAGTCGGTACCTTGATTGTGCGATATTTGAACACTGACAGGAGGGTGCTTGCCATCCTTGCTGAGCGGAAGCTTCCCTGGACTTGCTGTGACTGAGGAACGGTTGTAATTTTTGTCCAACGCTTAATTTCAATATTTAAATCACTGTCATTTGTCTTTACAAAAACCTGACCTGTTTTATTATCAGAGGGTATGTTTTTTTTGCTTTTTTCCCTTTTGTTTTTGTTTTTTTTTTTCTTTTTTAACTCGTGTTACATATTTGAACAAGTTTTGCTTAGTGAGATTTAAATTTGAAGTCAGGTTTAATCCTTTTTAACTGCATTGTTTGAAGAACTATCAGATTTAATTTAGCAAATTGTAGACTATAAACAAAGAGTTCTGGGCCGCTGCTGGGGAAGCATTGAACAACGAACTGCAGCTCCATCCCACCAGCCGTTCTCTGGGCGAAGGATGGGATGGTCTCTCCCGTAAAGGTGTCTTCCCCCTACTTTTGATTGTGAATTGGGTGAAGCTTACACCGGAGTTCAGCTTTTCCTTAAACAATTCATATACATTTCTCCCATAAAGATTCACAACCTCAGAAACGCTGCAGTGAAAACAGGTGTGGTTTGGGGGTTTGGGTAGATTGTAAGCAGCAGGTTATGTACACCCTCGTCTACATGTATCAAAAGATTTTCTTTAGAGACCAACATTTGTTTCTGCATTGCATGATTTCTTCAAGGCAGCTCATCTTACTGAACACTTTTCTGTAATACCCAGAACAGATGTCCAGTGGGAAGCAGGTGTAGTTTAGTATTTTTATTACCTTGCTAGCAAGATTTTATACTCTGAGACCAAAATTAGCTGCTGAATTGACTTAAAGAATCATTTTTTGTAGAGTGTATTTCATGACTCACGGAGAATACAGAGGTAAGACTCGGTTATTTACAAAATACAGAGATGGGGATTATTTTTTAAGCAGCAGAAGCAGACTACTGAAGGTGAACACCAGCGATGGGGGAGGGGGGGATGCACAAAATTCTGTTATCTCTTCATTTCTCCATGAACTCTCTGAAGCCTCCTCATTATATATTTTTAAAAGATTATTTTAAAAAACTTTTCATTTTACTCATTTCTGCTATGAAACCCTGTTTAAAAAGAAGGCATGGAAAATTGCTGTCCTACGACCATGTGAACAGGTTCAATGGCTCTCCGTTGGGAGCTGCCTGTCTGAAAAGTTCTTTCGCGAGCTGCCCAGGTGGTTTGCTGCACTGCTTTCTGCCCGTTGGTTTCCACGTGGCACCTCTTTGACCACCCACAGACCGTCCCCTGTGGGTATGGCGTCATGTTTGATAGCCCCCTGGTGACATAAAGGTTTAAATTATATACAAAGCGGGCGTTGGTCTTGAGGGGTTGCTTAAAGATGCAACTGGTTGATTTGCTTGTCTATCCCCCCCTCCCCACCACCCATTGCCAACATACAATTTAGATCATGGCCTTCACAGAGTCCTTGGTGGTTTCTCCCTCCCCTCCCCTCCCCTCCCCTTTCTTCTCTCTTACTCGAGGCTGACTTTTGAGGTGTTTTGTGTCACGTGCATTGCCGCATTTCCTGTGTTTCTGAGATAGGCCTACATCAAGTGTTCGCAATAGAAACCCTCCCGGCCGGTACGGTAACCCCGTGTGGCATTTATCTTTACGTAGCCACAGCCCCTTCGATCCACATCTGGGATGCGATGAACAAGCAGACCGTATCGGTGCTGCGCTGCTACCACTCCAAGGGCGTCGGTTCCGTCAGCTTCAGCGCGACTGGCAGATTGCTGCTGTCTGTGGGACTCGACCCGGAGCACACCATCACTGTTTGGAGGTGGCAGGAAGGTAGGAGGCTTTTCCGGTGTGGTTTTTCCCGCCCCAAAGATAAGCAGACTAGGGGACTAGGTCAGGTATACGATGGGAAAAGACGAAGTCTGATCCACATGGAAAGGCACTGTTTAACTCTAGTCAAGGAAGAGAAATCCTAGAATTACTAGGACGCCTTAAACCCTGTCTAGAAAACAAGGGGTGGAAGGCACCCTGGGATAACATTAATATTGTCTTTAATATTTGCACTCACCAAACAGGTAACATCCATGCAAGTTACCAGTAGCATACACCATCCACTTCTGATTGGTTGTTGTTGTTGTTTCAAATCAGAAACTACTACTTGATTTTCTTTGCTAATTATTAATGATAAGATTGGTTAGCATGCCTCTGAACCAAGAATGAGAACAGAGTCCATTTTATGTGAGAATGGAAGGTGAATGGCCTAATGTTACCTCCAATGCTTCCGATGAAATGTTTTCATGAAACAAAGCTCATGGAGCTACCCAGGGAACATCCAGGGATACGGTTCCTATGTTGGTCTGGGTAGACCAGAGAAACAAATTCATAGACCCTCATATGTGTTTAAGAAAGAGGTTTATTTACAAGAGCAGTTGAATATTGAGAAAACATCCCAGCCCAGTCCAGATCAAGTCCATAAGCCTGATATTAGCCCATATGTCCGACACCAGTCTATAAAGTCCTCTTCTGACCCACAAACACATGCAATGATGCTGAATGCAGGAAGATCCCAGGCCAGCGGATGCACAGTCTTGTGGATCCAGTGGCACTGTAAGCATCTCAGCGCTGGCAGGGGTCTCCATATGGCTTTTCCAGCTCCAGGTTTCTGGCTGCATCGGGGTAGGTCCATGTGGCTTCTCCTCAGGGATGTGTCGCAGGGAGTCAGCCTTGTCAGCAGAGAGTCTCCAAGGAAGTGAGCAGAGAGAGAGAAGTGTCTGTGGCCTCCAAGGAGGAAATCCAGGAGTTCCCAGAATTCTCAGGAGAAGGCCATGCCCACACAGAGGCCTCATTGGTTATATCTTGAGTGACAGGCCAGACTCCACCCCTTCACTCACAATCCTCTCAGATTGACACTAGATGATGTAACAACCGGTTCCGAAAACCAAACTGGTGACACAGCTCTCCAAAGCACACGCAACACTTGAAAAAAGTATGTGAGAAGGATGGGACCCTCCCTGCAAGGGGCTGTCTCTCACGTCACGGTGAGGCAGCAGGGCCGGCGACAGGCCCTTTGCCTGCCTTGCTTTGTTCTGCTTTTTAAAGTATTTTTTTCTTGTAAAAATAGACAAGTTCCACGTACTTGTGTAAATATATGTCTATATAACGATAGGGAAATAGATCTATGATCGCTGAAGACAAACATGTACATAAGCAAATGTGGTGAAGAAAGCTGATGGCCTCCAAAAGATATAGCACCTGGGGTCTTAAAGGCTTGAAGATAAACAAGAGGCCATCTAGCTGAGAAGTAATAAAGCCCACATGGAAGAAGCACACCAGCCTGTGTGATCATGGGGTGTCGAGGGGATCAGGGATCAGGCTTCAAAGACCCAGCACAAACAATTATACCAATGTGAACGAGGGGGAGCACGGAGTGGAGACCCAAAGCCCATCTGTAGACAACTGGACATCCCCTCACAGAAGGGTCACAAGGGAGAGATGAGCCAGCCAGGGTGCAGTATAGCACCGACAAAACATACAGCATTCTTCTAGTTCTTTAATGCTTCCTCCCCTCCACTATCATGACCCCAATTCTACCTTACAAATAGGGCTAGACCAGATAGTAGTACACTGGCACAGATAAGAGCTTGAAACACAGGGAATCTAGGACAGATAAACCCCTTAGGACCAATAATGAAAGTAGCGATACCAGGAGGGTAGGGGAAGGTGGGACGAGAAAGGGGGAACTATTCACAATGATCGACATATGACACTCCGCCCAGGGGGATGGACAACAGAAAAATGGGTGAAAGGAGACAGCAGTTGGTGTAAAATATGAAAATAGCAATTTATAAGTTATCAAGGGTTCACAAGGGAGCGGGGGGAGCCAGGAAAAAAATAAGCTGATACCAAGGGCTCAAGCAGAAAGAAAATGCTTTGAAACTGATGATGGTAACGTACAAATGTGCTTGACACAATGGATGGGTGGATGGATTGTGATAATTGCTGTAAGAGCCCCCAATAAAATGATTAAATTAAAAACAACAACAGCCTAGTTCAACTAACCCCCATTGTTTTCTTCGACCTTCTTGGCCAGGTGACCGAATTGCCAGCAGAGCTGGTCACAACCAGCGTATTTTTGTGGCAGAATTCCGGCCCGACTCGGACAGCCAGTTTGTCTCGGTGGGCGTGAGGCACGTGAAGTTCTGGACGCTGGCAGGAAGGGCTCTTCTGAGCCGGAAAGGGGTGCTGAGCACGCTGGACGACGTCCGCCTGCAGACCATGCTCTCCGTAGCCTTTGGTGCAGTATGTCTCCCCAGATGCCTGGGGCGGGGGGTGGGGGGGGGACTGTGAGTGACAACAGCAGACGTTCAGTGTTGTGTCCAGGCCGCTGTGGTCTGCTCAGCCTTTCCTCACTTAGGGCCCAATCTCCTCTTTCAGACGCCTGGTGCTTTCAAAATCAGGGAGCCGGTAGGGAAGCTCTAGAGCAAGGGAGAAGGATTAGGATAAAACAGGCGTCCTGGGGCCATGGCCAATCTTGCAGCCACCCCCTAAATAGCCTAACATTTCTTCCTAATAGTTTCTAGGGACCCTTAAAAATATTTGCCAAGGTAAAAATCCAGACACTAGATTTTCAAGGGATTTAAGGTGGCTCTAGTACCAAGGATTTTCTTGGCTTTTTATCCCCATACTTGTTGCTTCTCTAATTCAGAAGAAGACAAGAGACAGGAGAGCATAATTCCTGGTCTAGATGAAAAGAGGGCCCAAGCCAAGAGCCCTCTCCCCGAGTTGTCTCACCTGCCTGCGGTTTATAATCCACATCTCTTCCCCTTTGTGCTTGGCCTCAGCGCTGCGGCTCATAACTCCTCCACTTCATGCAAACCTAAACAAGCAGGGCTCCTTCTTAAAGTCTCTGCGGGATGTGAGGGACGAAACCCAACACTTTCCCACCTTCTGTGCACTTGGGCTTTTGAGAAAAAGGCTGCTGGAAGTGCACACGCCTTGCCAACATGCAGTTGAGCACCGTGGGGATTCTGAATACACAGGCCGTCCTTCCTCTGCAGATCTAATGTTTCCGACATCTGTTAGGTCTACCGTCTTTACTTGTGCGATGCCATTTGCAGTCCATTGCCCATTCCCAGTAGACAATAAGCTCAAAGATGAAAGGACTGACTTCTTATGCGGGATGCTGCCGCAGTAAGAACGTGCCCTCACACAGCCTCACCAGCAGGCTTGTGTTTGGCTTAAGCATCGGTGAGCAGCCTGCGCTGGGGGCTATATGGGAAAGGCAAGGGGAGTAAGATACCGGCTGCTGCACCCATAGCGTTTACATTCTGATTGTAGATCTGATTGTAGATAAAGGTGTGAGGAGATGCGCTCCTAGAGACACATGTGTGGCATGCAAATGCGAGACGTGAAGGATCTTCATGGCTGCCAAGGAATTTAAAGCCAGCGTTAGATTGCTACAGGGCATCTCAGAAAGATGGGGGGAAAGAAAGGAAATTGTTGATATTTTTCATTATAACTCAAATTCAGCCCCTTCCCAGAAGCCCTGGTAGCATAATGGTTATACGTTGGGCTGCTACCCACAGGGTCATCAGTTCAAAACCACCAGCCAGTTCTGTAGAGACAGTCAAGGCTGTCTACTCCTGAGTGACAGTCTCAGAAACTCACCGGGGCACTTCTACCCTGCCCAGTAGGGTCACTGTGAGTCGGCACCAACTTGGTTAGGTCTTTTCCATATTATTTTGAGTTTGAAATGGATTTTTCCATATTTTTGCTCTAAACGTGAAGCTGAAATGGGACGGAAATAGCACAGGATGCAGAATTCAAGGTCCCCAGCTTCAGCATAAATGAGCCGTCGGGAATGCTGTTCGCAGAGCAAACTGGGGGCTTCCCAGCCTCTGGAGCAACGGTCCTCCACCTTCCTCATGCCGTGACCCTTTCAGACAGGCCCTCATGTGGTGGTGACCCCCAACCATGACATTATTTTCATGGCTACTTCATCGCTGTCATTTTGCTACTCTTGTGAATCAGGTGACCCCCGTGAAAGGGTCATTTGACACACCCCCCAACCCCCAAAGGGTCGCGACCCTCAGGTTGAGGACTGCTGCTCTAGAACAGGGACAAACGGAGCTACTGGAGTGTTTGAAACAAGGGACATTAACCTTTGCCAGTTTGATCTTAAGAAATCATGGCAAATGCTCATTCCATGCAGGTACTGGCGAAATCTGGAAAAATCTCACAACTTTGCCACATAGATCATAGGTTTACTTCTTGTGACAAAAAAACGATTTTCCTCAAACCTAATTGGAGGTTCCCCTCACTTCCTGTTTGTCTTGGAAGGAAGCTTTCGCTCAAAGGGCAGGGTCCATGCAGAGGAGGAGGAGGAGGAAGTAGAAGAGGGAGGAGGGAGGAGGAGGAGGAGGACTGATGTAGACTAGGAAGGACCCAGCCCCAGCCCCCAGATCCGAGGTTACACCTTGCCCAGTGATTCCAGCTAAGAAGCCACAGGACTGGAGAGGGAGCCAGCTGGTCCTGACAGAGCTGAGGCTCCAGTTCTCAGGTTTTCTGACTTGGGCCTGGGGACCCCAGCCTCCCCACGCCCCCACCCCCAGCTCCATGCCCTGTGTGTCAAAGGCAGGTGAGGTCGCCCACACCGACTTAGGGAAGCACGTCTGTTTGACCTGACCTCTGCCTGAACTTTTGATGAGTTTGTCTCCCCCTCCCCACTCCTTTTCAGAATAACTTGACGTTTACAGGTACCATCAGTGGTGACGTGTGTGTGTGGAAAGACCACGTCCTGGGTCGGATCGTGGCCAGAGCTCACAACGGGCCCGTGTTCGCCATGTACACCACCCTGCGAGATGGCCTGATCGTCACTGGTGGCAAGGAACGGCCGTGAGTCTGCTCCGTGCCCAGCCTCTGTGCGCCCAGCGTGGTCACCCCCGAGATGCCCTGGGAGTTTCTAGGCTATCTCAGCCAGCCTCTGGGCTGGACCAGGACCTTTGATGTGCCTTCTGTTAGTTCATCTTCCGGGTCTCAAATTGCTGTTTGTGTTTTTCTTCTTCTTGTTAAACCTAAACTCCAACAACTGGGGTGATTTTCCCGAGGTGTGGGCAGGTATTTGCCCAGCAGGTCCAGATGGTCTGGCTTCCTATGTTGTGGCTATATATGTATTTGCTGAGTAGTAGACCTACAGCAGCCCTGGTGTAGCGGTTATGCATTGGGCTGCAATCGGCAGGGTCAGCAGTTTGAAACCACCAGCTGGTCCCAAAGAGAAAGACACGACTTTCTACTCGTGTAGTTAGTCTAGTCTCGACCCCCAATAAAATGATTTTAAAAAAAACTAGGTAGTGAATTAAAATCATAATGTGGGTCTCAACTTGTAGTCACTTCTAATGTAAAGAATTCTTAATTGAATTGACTCTGCTACCCAGTGATGCAGGAAGAGATCAATTTTATTTACCCATCTTTGGAACTTCACATAGATGAAATTCTGAATGCCATTTTGGGTACAACATCTAAAATGTTATGAACCATAAGGAATTAAAATAATGCAATTAAAGAAAGGGGGGGAAATTCACAGGGCACAGTTTCTACCCTCTCTAGGGTCCCTATGAGTCAGCTGCTTTTTTAAAAAATTATTTTATTGGGGGCTCGTACAATTCTCATCACAGCTGCTTTTTATAAAAATCATTTTGTAAAGTCACTTTGTACATCTCAATCAAGAATTAGGGGAAAATAAGTGTTTCTTCCCATATCCCCAAAATAGAGTTTCACAATATAAAATGGGCTCTAGCTGAATGTTTATGTCAGCCACCGTCCAGGAGAGCAGTCGCCTCCTAGATGCACAGCCTCGGAAACTCTGCGGAGCGGTTCTGCTGTCGGGAGGCAATGGGGTGGATCTTAAAATTGCCAGGAAAAGTGTAGGCTATTGGAAGCATACTATAAATTTAGAACTTCTTTTCGTATTGCCTTGAATTTATTTGTTTATAATAAAAAGTTAAGGCTAATAATAATAACCACCTATTTTGGTTTGGGCTGTGATTTCCTTAGGTCAAAAGAAGGAGGAGCAGTTAAACTGTGGGACCAGGAGCTGAGGCGATGCCGGGCCTTCAGGCTGGAGACAGGACAAGCCACGGACTGTGTGCGTTCTGTGTGCAGAAGCAAAGTAAGTCCACACGCAGCAGCAGTTAGCCCCAAGCTGCTCACGCCCTGTCAGTGCAGTTCTGAAGAGGGATTCCTGGCCAGACTCACCTGCCCTTCCTGCACACACCCACTGTCTTTGTACCAGTGGCTAAGAAAAGAAACTCGTCTCCCTGCATCCAAACACCTGTTTGAAGCCTGAATTATGTAGACAGAATAGACCTTCCTTCCTGGGCTCATTTTAAGTAGTGGTGCTGCCTCCATTTAGAAACAAAACACATAACCCTGCTTTAACAAAATGCTGTAAGCATGTGCTCCTGAGAGGTGTATTTATAATTTAGGTTCATTATCTTGTCTGTCTGCTAATTATTAGGTCTCTTTGTTGTGGTGGTTGCTTAAAAAACGTACAAATAAAAGCCCCAGTACTTTTCTTCCTATAGTCCAAACACACTTTAGAGAGCAGAAGGTTCAAATGCCATGGTCAAAGTCCAAACCTGGATTATTGAAGCCGGAGCATTTGCTTAAAGCAGCAGTTCTCAACCTGTGGGTCGCAACTCCTTTGGGGGTCGAACAACTCTTTCACAGGGGTCACCTGATTCATAACAGTAGCAAAATGACAGTGATGAAGTAGCCACAAAAATAATTTATGGTTGGGGGGTCACCACAACATTAGGAACTGCATGAAAGGGTTGCAGCATTAGGAAGGTTAAGAACCACTGCCTTAAAACCAGTCTGTGCTCTGGCCTGGACGGCAGCAACCCAGCCCAGCGCCCTGCAGGCCAGTGCCTGTAATCACAGGTTTGTAAGAGCTAACCCCCTTACAGCTAGCTGCCAGACAGCTAACAAGGAGCAGTGAGAACAGGAGCCAGGTGTCCGACGGGAGAGTAGCCTCATTCTTGGGTAAGTAAGAGCTCCTTGTGATCTGTGTCAAACATACTGGCCCCGTTTGTTTCAGGGCAAGATATTAGTAGGAACAAGGAATGCTGAAATTATTGAAATCGGAGAGAAAAACGCAGCTTGTAATATTTTAGTGAATGGCCACGTGGACGGACCCATCTGGGGACTGGCAACACACCCTTCCAGGGACTTTTTTCTTTCGGCCGCAGAAGACGGGACAGTGAGACTCTGGGATATTGCTGATAAAGTAGGTGCACACTGTTGTATTTATTTACTTAATGTTACGGTTTCTCGGAAGGGCAGGGAGACCAAACTTGTTAGCATTGAGAGAACTCCTTGAGCTGTGGGTTGCGAATTGGGGAGTGAGGGGATGGTGTAATGTGCGTGTACTGTACTTAATGTAGTTCTTTGACTCTCTTGGTCATTATGCAGAAGACGTTAAACAAAGTGAATTTGGGACATGCTGCCCATACTGTGTGTTACAGCCCTGAAGGGGACATGGTGGCTATTGGAATGAAAAGCGGAGAATTCATTATTTTATTGGTGAGCTCTCTAAAAATATGGGGAAAGAAGAGAGACCGGCGAGGTGCCATCCACGATATCAGGTCAGTCCACAAAGGGACTAGCTTTCCCAACTTGGCTTCCCAAGACCCTGCATGCGTTCGTTCGACACCCTTTCCTGAGGCCTTCAAACAACTTCCCAGATTCCTGTATGTAGCGATGTTTTTGCATAATAAATTGTGAAATATGGCTGCTTATATACTTCTCTCTGCTATGTTATAAACCTACCCACTGGACACCATCACAGTGCATAATACAAGCACTCATGGAATGTTTGATAGGTGTTACACCAGACACGCCCATAAAGTTCACCTTCGTGAAAAAACTATCCGCTCCTGTAACACTGGAGAAAGGCACCTGCCCTCCTGAAGTTGTCACCTGTAAAAATAAAGTCCAACTCCTAACACCTCCTTAATAATACGTGTCATTCCCGTAAGAACTTCAACTTGAGTATCTGAAACCAAACACTGCCATCAAGTCAATTCTGGCTCATAATAGCCATAGAGGGCAGAGTAGAACTATCTGCCCCCTTGGGCTTCAAAGACTTCGAACTTTTGAGTTGACAACCTCATCTTTCTTCTTCAGAGGTCTGGTGGGCTTGAACCACTGATCTTGTGGTTAGCAGCTCAGTGCGTAGCCCACTATACCAAGAGGGGGATCCTTTCAGTAGATGAGGGGGTACCACACCACTCCCTCCCCCACCAAAAAAGGGAACTCCTCTCAGCGGAGCTTTCATAGTACCCATTTTTCCCTCTAGGCGAGCATCCAGCAACTCACTCCGTTAGTGTACTCAGTGGCGTCGCCTGGAAAGGTTCTCTCGGGTTAATTTTTTTGTAAAATCAGTTTCAGCCAAACCTTGTTTTTTATGATGGCCAATTTAAGAGAGATAAGTGTGTGGCTGTGAAATTTTGTTTCCTGCTCAGGAAAAATGCTACAGAAACTGTTGTGATACTGAACACAGCTTACAAGAATAGCACTATGGGAAAAACTCAAGTGTAAAAGTTTTCTCACTTCAAAAAAGGTGAAATTTTGACTGACAAACCTCTTTCTGGACCTCCCAAATGGACAAAAATGTCCACAAAATTCGTGCACTTGTGCTCTAAGACTGATGATGGGCCATTGAAGAGGTGGGGGAAGTTATCTGGGCTACCCTGGAACTAGGTTCAGGAAATTTTAACAGAAGATTTGGGAATGAGAAAGATCACTGCGAAAGTTGCCTTGGGTTCTGACCAGGAAAAAGAGCATCAAATGGAAACATGCCATGCTTTAAAAAAACAGCTCCGAAAGAGACCCAGGCTTCTCCCCAAGGTCATTACTGGTGACAAGACACGGTGCCATTCTTCGGACCTCAACAGCAAACACGAATGAGGTCAATGGACGCGATCATCACTTCACCCCCAAAAAGTTCGTGAAATCAAAGATCAAGACAACGCTTTTTTTTTTTTTTACGAGAAGGGGGGGGGAGTGCATTTGGAGTTTGTTCCACCGGGTCAGACTGTTAATCAAACTTTCTGTTTAGAGCAGTGGTTCTCAACCTTCCTAATGCCGTGACCCTTTAATTCAGTGCCTCATGTGGTGGTGACCCCCAACCATAAAATTATTTTCATTGCTACTTCATAACTGCCATTTTAATACTATTATGAATCGGGTGACCCCTGTAAAAGGGTTGTTCAACCCACAAAGGGGTAGTGACCCACAAGTTGAGAACCGCTGGTTTAAATTAGAGGTCCTGAAAAGATTGCCCAACAGTGTGCGACAAAAAAGGCCTGATTTGTGGCAGGCGGGGGACTGGTTTTGCCACCATGACAATGCACCTGCTCTCGCAGCCATCTCAGTGTGCAGGCTTTTGACAAAAACAGCATGCCTTTCTTGCCCCATACACCTTACTCACCTGATCTTACGCCATGCAGTTTGTTTCCGTGAATGCAGAGGGATGTGAACGGACAGCAATTTGATGATGACAAAGGAGTAGAAAAAACCTAGGGAGGTGCTGTCAACCATCCAAGCAGATGAGTTTGAAAAATGTTTCCAAGAATGGAATCGCAGATTTGACAAATGTATTAAGTGTAATGGAGAGCACTTTGAGGGTTATAACGTTATTTTGTAAAAAAAAAAAAAAAAAAAATTACATAGCTTTGGAATGTGGGGGGTGTATTCTGGGTTTGCGGTACCCCTGGTAGTCCATTTAATTAGCACTCATTGAATATCTGACGACTTAGGCCCCACAATCTGAAGCTGAGACTTTCTTAAGCCTGTATTTGTCATGGTTCACACGATATCTTAATAGGCTCCTGTTTACTGAACACACCTGTGATCTGAAGATTACTGACCCAAGTCTGTCGAAAGCTTGTGCTCTTTTTACTAGAAAACTCTTAAAATGAAACCTTAGAGAACTTCAACATGGAAGAACAGTTAACAGTGGCTTTCCTTAGCCTCCCTGAGTCCCCATGGGCCTGGACAAGACTCGGGATCTTTCCAGAAGACCGAATTATCCAGCCTCCCCTCTATCTATGATCTCAAAGTGCAATTCCACTTTGCCATTTAAAAAAACCTCTTCCAAGCTTCTAGCGTCACTTTGTTTTAATAACCCAAGGTGTGTTAAGGTCACATTTCCCCCACCCCCAATTAGGACATCATCTTTCCAGATGAAAGCAACCTATTTTAGTGAATTATGGCATTTACTAATTAAGAAATTTTTAGCGGTTAAAAAAATAATAGCCATTATTAAAATGACGTGAGATCTCAGGAAATGCACAAACATGAAGGAAAATACAGCTCTTGCCTGTTTCCTATAATACGGATGACTCAGTCTCCACGGTAACTCGGGTCCTCGGAAGCCAGGTGTCAAGTTAGAAAGGAAGTCCCTGGTCTTCAAAGTTTCTGTTCATTCCTGTGGCCTAACCATCTTTTACGTCTTGTTACATGTCCAGATTTAGTCCAGATTCCCGCTATCTGGCAGTGGGGTCTGGTGAGAACTCGGTGGATTTTTATGACTTAACACTGGGCCCCACCCTTAACAGAATCAGCTACTGCAAAGACATCCCAAGTTTTGTCATTCAAATGGACTTCTCGGCTGACAGCAGACACCTCCAGGTACGGCGGCGTTCCAAGGCTGGGTGTCTAGTTGTCCAAGGTGGTTCTGCTTTAGCACTTCCTATGGGTGAATGCACGGGCACCAGTGCTCCTGTTCATCAGCCTGCGCTCCTCCCGTAACATCCTGTTCTCCACAGGCCTCTCATCCACGGTTTGAGCAGTCTTTGGGAGTAATCTTTTGGGGTGGCATTTTGTTAGAGATGTAACACAAGCAGCACGTAGCTAGTACACTAGTCTGTCAGACGGCTTCTACCTCACATAATGCTAGTCTTGTCCCATTTCAATATGCTGAAAGGTTTCCACGGGTTGCTATCAACGGCGTGTCTATGAAGTGCCTTCCGGAAAACATCTTTTGGATCAGGCTGCCATCGACAGAATTACTTGGGCTACGTGGACGAGGTAAACACTTCACGTTCTGGGGAAGAACTGGGGGCAGCAGGGAAAACATTGGAGTTTTGTTCTATCTAGAATCTTTGTCGAGCGATCATCCCATGCTGTGCATGGAAGGAAATAAAAGCCACGGCTTTAGAGATAGCTTGACCAAATAAATAGGCAATAAAAAAATAGGGCTTCAAAAAGTTGGTGGAAAATGGAACTTAAAAGATGGAATTTTCCACAAAATTCCAAGCCCCTCGCATTACACTCAACTGTGCCTTCTTGAAGCCGTTAGAAATGGAAACTTAAAACCATGTTCACAGTTGTTAGGCTGTATGAAAAGTAACTGAACAGCCACTTTTTAATTGATGAAAAAAAAAAAATGCTACCAAATTCCCATAGCTTTGGCATCACTTTCTAAAGGTTACTCTGCCCCTCCCTGGTTGTTTATTGCCTTGTTAGAAAGATCCAGCCTGTGTGATCTCTTTCAACTATAGCTCCACTAAAAAGTGAGGGGCGGCCTCCATTACAACCCACCCGATCATAACTTCCCGCCCGTGCTTAACATGACTTGGTGTGGACAGACTGCCCCAAGTCTCTCCTTTTCGGTGCAGGAAGCCTGCTTGCCAGGGCTCACTTGGCTTCTTCCTTTCCTGTAGTACTCTGGGAGATGAAGTTATGGGGATCTGGTCCCGGCACGCCGACAAGGCCGACGTCACCTGTGCCTGTGTTTCTCATTCGGGAATCAGCCTCGCAACAGGCGATGACTTCGGCATGGTCAAATTATTTGACTTTCCGTGCCCTGAGAAATTCGTAAGTCTGCATTTGCTTGACTCCCAACTGAGAAGAGGGGTTACATTAGCGCCTTGCTGTCAAGCACTGACAGCCCAAACAAAGAAATGCGTTTCTATATGTCTGAACACCTGCCCCCGAACTTAAAGCCACGAACCAGCACAGAAAAGCTGTTGGACATATTCCGTCCCTTTCCCCAGTCATCCCAGCTTACAAAATTGCCCCTATAGGCTGGTGACAAGCTTTTGGGCAAGCATTTGCATCAACGCATTAGGCAAGTTTCCAGTTCCTTGGGGAAGCACAGTCCAGAGCACATCTGGGGATGGGCACCTGCCTGCCCAAATAGACGGCAGGCAGGGCAGATCACAACCTGAAAAGTCATTTGCCTCAGTCCCAACTCCCTTCTCTTCAGAGTCTTGGAAATGGCGATCAGGGCTCCCTCACTGGCTAGTCACTGTGGCTACCATCATCCTGGAGAACCCCATTTGGGTCCTCAGCTGTTCCAGCAGGCTCTGGTTGTCATCTCTGGTACTCTGGCTGGCCGGATGTCAAAGCTGTGCTTTGTATAAGAGAACCTTTCTTTGACCTGGTCCGAGCTTTGGGTTTCTGTTGTTTCTAGGCAAAACACAGGAGGTTCTTCGGTCATTCACCCCATGTGACCAACATTCGATTTACCAGTGGGGATCGCCATGTCGTTAGCGCAGGAGGCGACGACTGCAGGTTGGTAACTTTCTAAGTCCAAGAAAAGGGGCAGACTGTTGTAATAGTTAAGAGATGTTAAATAACTTCTACTTCAGTCTGTGAGCTCGGCTAACCAACCTTATCAAAGGCAACACAGCCGGCTAGCTCCTCTGATCCCCATCTGCTGCTGGAAGTACAGAATCAAAGGAGCTGACAATTTTTACTTTTGACCTGAAAGTTCAGTTGAAACATTGTTCACCTGTTCTGAAAAACCTAGGATATCATGTACTCACTGCAGTGTTTTCTTAATTGCAGTTTATTTGTCTGGAAATGTGTGCACATGCCTCACTGAAAAGCATTGGTGCCCCAAAGATGCTGCACAAACAGCCTTGAGAGCCAAGACTTGCAGAGGGAAAACACACAAACCCTGCACGGCCAAGTGGTGCTAAGCCCTGATTGTGACGACGGAGAGGAGGCTCGGGATCACAAGAGAAAGACGGATCCATTCGCAGTGTTTGCCACTGGCACTGGCTGTCCACGCGTGCTCCAGACACTGCCCGGGAGTCCGTCCCAGGAAGGGCTTGAAGGCATACTGGGTGGACAGCCAGTGCGTCGTTGCTTTCACGGTAGACTACAAATGAGGCAGACCCACAGGGCAGATGAATTTGGGGATTTTTTGTTTGTTTGTTTACAAGGCAGATTTGGGGGGAAGCACTCAACTAATCCCCCAAAGGGTTAAAAACCCAACTTGGGTAGTTTCTCCGCCCACCCCCACCCCCCAAAAAAACAAACTTTCCCTATTTTCAAGATTCAATTTTCAACGAAATATTTAAAATACTTTATCCTTATATTCGTAAGAAGCACTACCATCACCCTGAAAGATTACACTACTGAAAAGGCAGTTATGGTTTCCCCTAAGGAAACAGATACGAACTGTACTGGAAATTGTAAGGTGTCCTAAGCATAAAAATTCTTAAAAAAAATAAAAAAAAAAGACCCATTTAATAAAGGACATTTTTCTCCAGGCAGAAATTTGAATCCCAAATAGTGGTATGATGCGCAATCATTTCCAATGATGTACAGTTTGTAAGGCTTTAGGTAGTGATAGTATTTAGGTGGAAGAGAAAACTGAATATATATAGTGGTAATCAAATATAAACATTGTAAATGAAAGGATTAAAGTTCACATTTATAGTTATATAATTTAGTAACTCTTGGAATGAAAGTTTTATAACTTGTTTCCTATTGGGAAAACTGTTCAGTTAGTTGTTTTATGCTGATATAAATCCCACCCAAGTTGAATGCTCTACAGGTGCATTTGTGAGCTTGTCGTTTGGAAGATTCCTTTCTGGTATACATAGGCTGAACTCTTCAGATTCTTACGCTTGCTCACCTCAAATGCTGCCAAAGATCAGTACTAACCATTCAGGAATTTGCTGTTAGTCTGTCCGTACTTTCTTGGAGACTGGAAATTATGTAGACTGCTCTTAAAAATAACCGTATATATTTTTCTAAGTGTGAAGAAGTTTAAGATGCTCCAGCTGACCCCGTTAATGATCGTTAGAGCCTAACAGACCCTTCAGCTTGTGGGAAACCAAATGTGGTTTGACAAGACCATGAAAATTCCAAAGACCTCATGTCCATGTCCAACACTTGTGCACATTACAAACAAGTAGCAGAATTTTTATCCCAGAAACCCAGGGACTGCGCCTAGTCTGAGTTAAAGCTCTGGATGGCTGTGTCTGAACTGATAGGCTATTAGGAAGTAATACCTTGAAACCCAGGATAGTAATCTTTCTTATTCCCATAAATGGGTTCTCCCAAATTAAACTGAATGTTAGAATACATTAAATTTCCATTCAGTCATTTACAGGGAAAAAGAGTCTGTAAACCATGCTCTCATCACAAAACAAAAAACTCCATTTTTTGCGGTTTTAAATGGGTCCAGTGTGTGCTCACAAGAAATGCTACTTCCATTACTGTGTAGGTCAAAAGTCTAACATACTCAAAGTAAACTAGGTAGAACAAAATGGTTTCTGCCGCATTTTTGTTCCTTTGGGGCCCTCCAGTGAGCCTTAACCACCTGCTACCGCTGGCTTCAGGCCCCCGGTGCTTGGACCACCCATCAACCAAGGGAAGGCTAATCAACTTGATAAGGCCATTTAATTTCAACTCTGCCCTGCTTTTTCATGTTTTCTACCCAGAACTATTTTTTGGGCACCCTCGAGTTCAGCTCCACCTGGCCGCCTGCATAGAATGCATGCCAAAGCAACCGTGCCCCCGGGCACTGGCTGTGCCCTGCCAGCCACACTCCAGTCGTTTTGTAACCCTTTCTTCTTATGGAGGGTCACCTTAGACCAGGTCAACCAACACAAGGTTCAGGGCCAACCTTAGCTTGTCCTTAAACCGTAACTAAATTAACATGTCACTCTAGGAGTTTTCTGATAGTCTGTTACATAGCTAACAACAAACACATAAGCTCCTTTCCCCCCATTTGTGTTCTTCATAGTCAAACTGTAAAACGCCACTATACCCCACATATAAATAGGAAACTCCATATTCTCGGATATTTAAAACTAATTACTTCTGCAGAAACATAAAATGTGTCAGTGTAGTCACTCTGGAATTAACAAGCATTTCTGAAGAAAAGACTGTCGTGTGTTGGAAGCGACAAGCACAGCTTTGTGTTGCTTCTGCACTGTCTTCCTGAATGCTCCGAGTCTTAGTGAGGTCCGCACAGTGACGTGCAGCTGACAGGGTGGTGTGGTGATGGGTTAGTTGTTTTCTTCCCAGCAGTAATTTAATTTGGACTTGACATGTGGATGTGTGACTCCTCTCTAACCACCTTGTAGCTTTAATTTCAAAGACAAACAAGAAACGGTATATGACATCTGTAAAATCAGAGATCCTGTTGTTATTTAATTCTAAAGCATTTGACACTTCTTGCCTTAACAATTTTAAAAACCATACACACGAAACTCAATAGTAATTCAATAATCCAAAAGTTTAGTCCTATTTTGAGGTTTACCCATCTGATCTTAATTATATATAGTTCTGTCATTTAAAATATACTATTTAAATCTAACTTTTACATCTTAAAAATTATCTTTAGTAGGAACTAAGTATATTTTCTGTGAAGTCATTTCTAAGAATGTTATTTTTCAGAATGTGAGACAATATATGTATGGCTAAGTCTTGTAAGTTTAAAGTCTGTTTTCTGATACTTTGTGTACATACATGTAAAAAAAATTTGTATAATTTTGTGATAATGTAGTTCCCCGAAATATTTATTTAAAGAACATGTTAATAGTAAATGAAAGCATTTTAAGGACTTGTTCACATTTTTGCACTCGCTGTTTCATCTGTTCCCACACCACCTCTCTCCCGCTTCCTCGGAGGGAGGAATCATTTTGAGGGAATAGCACTCATCCTGAGAGGCCAGCTTGCTTCAAGAGTCATTCCACTTCAAAACCCAGAACAGGACACACACAAAGCTGATGGCTTTTTAAAGCATCCTCAACACTTGGCTACACTTCCGTCGTTATGGTGGATTTTGAAACGGTGCCTACTATTATAAATGCGGATTCTTAGAACAGCAGTGATAGACATGCCTGATGACTAGCTGTCCTTCAACTGTCTTTCCATAGTAAAAACAAACAAAATGAACAACAATAAAAACAGCCAATGTTAAAACCACTGAACAACTTACAGACTTGAAAAATCAGACACACTTCAGATAGGTAATACACTTCATATTACGAAAGCAATATATTCCAAGTTTCAAAGATTTGACAAGTTTGGTTGAAAGTCTCTCATCAGTAGATGGCAACTCTCACAACCGATCGTCTTCTGCCGGGAGGCCTTGGTGTCATTCGCTGAAGAAACAGAAGCGACAGTGTTTAGCTGCTTTGCATGCACCTCTATCATGCATCTCAGCCAAGAAGTTGACTATTTTCAGACAGTGAGAATTTGGTCTACAAATGACAATGATATTAACAATTTTAAGGAGATAATTCTATTATGCATAAGGCAACATGTATGATTAACTTACAGGTCACACGAAACTATTTGGAAATGTCACTGCTTTATAATGACTAAAGCCCTATACTAAACTATTCTGAAACTTCTCTCTGCTTTATACTAACGCCCTGTGGAGTAGTAGTCGCACTGGACTGCAAGGTCTGCGGCTCTGCAGGAGAAAGAGACCAGGCTTTCTCACTCTCGTGAAGTTTTACAGCCAAAGGAACCCACGGGGGTTGTTCTAATCTGTCTGCTAGGGTCGCTATGAGGAAGGCAGTGGTTTGATTTGCTCTATTCATCAACCGATGATGCATGAATCCCTGAAAGCTTTATGTGCTCACCTAAGAGATGGACACGAGTAAAAGAAATCGATTTGGAGGTGATCTAGGTAAATAATCACTAGATAAGATAAAACATGGTCATGATCATGATTTTTCTAACCCTTGTAGAAACAAATTGCAGAGTAAAATCAAACTGTTGGCTTAAACGTCTCTCCAAATTTGTTTAAACATTTGGGAACTACCCGTTTAGTATGAGAAAAGTCTTTGGATGACACTGGCTTCATCAAAACTAGTTTCATCTTTACCTGGTTTGAGGTCGAATCCATTTCAAGGCATGGCGTGGTGGTACAGTAATGGCGGGATGGTAGAACGCACAGTCAGGTCTTGTACACTGAGTGTTAAACCTACAGTGCTAAAGAAAAGATCGTTTCATTATCTGCAAAGCTAACGGAAGTAAACACGTTTTGCCATGAGAGAAACCAGCCCCCCCCCACCCCACCCCCGTGAACAGCACAGAGAAGTGATCTGTGATGAGGCCTGGATTAAGTGAGCCCTAAACGACACAAAAGCTCTTAGTCAAAGAATCAAACCAGTGACGCTCCACAAGAAGGGGTTTCTTCTAGTCACCAGAGCAGCATCTCTATGCCCTGCCCGCAGCCCTCAGACACGCCCTGCTCCCGGCCCATTACAGCTGGGAGAAGGGTTTCTTTCACCAGGTCATCCCGCTGACCCAGGAGAGGACACAGTGCACCCTGAACAAGGCAAGCAAGCACACTGAGACACCACCACCAGTCCCTGCCTGATGGTGTTACTGCGCACGACTGCTGGAATTTCGCCATCGCTGTCTAGCATTAAGGGTGGAGGAGGAAGCGGCCTTTCCTGGGAGCTGACAGAAAGAGCATCAAGTTGCTTCAGGACGGCTCGCCTTTGAGGCCACACTGGTGCACAGTGACAACTAAGGAGTAACTAAAGGTCTTTCAGGCTACCAAGTGAACGCTGACGAAAAAAGTTAATTTGGAAAAATGCAATCCATGAAATGTACTAATCACCTTCCACCTCCAAACTAATTCATATTCATTGATCTTAGGGAAAAGAAAAGTGCTTACTTTTGGATGATAGAAGGGACATTCCATCTTCTTACAGGCAGGAAAGTAACGGCAGAGCTGAGTACTAGAAGGTGGTGTTGGCGTTGTAACTGCTGACAAAAATAAGGACAAGATGGATCACATCCACTGATTCTTTCCTGGCAGGGCATTTTAAAAATGTAAATAGAGTAAGTGCTGCATTTGCCAAGCTAAGGCACTGGAGCTAACAGGACCCTCCTGCTGAGGTAGCCTGAAGTAAACTGGGGAATGGGTCACTAGTTACTTGACCCAGGAAACCCCAAAGAATCATGGCAAATCAAAGGGCTCAAGTCTTGGGTCTGTTTTAAGAAAACCCAGGAGACTGACCAAACCATCCACCAGGGGCGTGCACATCCAGAACGCCATTAAGTATCTGAAAGATGTCCCTTTGCAGAAGCAGTATGTGGGTAGGTGTGCTCAGGCCAAACAGTAGGGTTGGACACAGGGTCGGTAGCCCCCAGAGTGTGCGAGTTGTTTGCTGTCCATGGGTAAAAACGCATCAAGTAGTGCTTCCATTAAGGCAGTGGTTCTCAACCTGTAGTTGCCACCCCTTTGGGGCTTGAACAACCTTTTTTCACAGGGGTCGCCAATTCATAACAGTAGCAAAATTACAGTTATGAAGTAGCAACGAAAATAATTTTATGGTTGGGAGGTCACCACAACATGAGGAACTGTATTTAAGGGTCACAGCAGCATCAGGAAGGTTGAGAACCACTGCTTTAAGGGGTCAGGTGAGAATTCTCTGGATATTGAGCGCATTCTGCTGCTTTAAGGGGTCAGGTGAGAATTCTCCGGATATTGAGCGCATCCCGCTACACAGAATGCCCCAGGTGCACTGCACACTGCCAAACAGGTGTGTCTTACTGATCATTCCTAAATCAGAAGAAGAAATTGCACATTTGCTCCTTAAGAGCTGGTTATATTAACCGAGTCCACCCAAATCACTCCGAACACTGTTTTTAATTTGGTTTAGATTGACAAAGTTTCCCATTTCCCCCTCAAATGTAGGGCACAATGTCACTCACCTGGCTTGGGAGGCAGAACTGGGAGTCTCCTACTCAGGTGAGTGAAGGGGCAGTCTGGCTTAGTACACTTTGCATCATATTTACAATTTGGGTGAACAAATAAGCATTTCTCAGCAAACTTACAATTGGGGAAAGCTCTGTGAATCAATAAGAACAAATAGTGATCATTCACCCCGAGGAGCGGCTTGTGTACACCATCATCACTGCTCGCTTCGAGAAGTATAGAAAAACAGGAAAACATGACATTTTTACGTAAAGCAAGAATGCAGAGAGGACGCCAGGGTCTATTCCAGAGCCCAAGATGAACACCAAAGGTTTTCAACTTCAACTCAAGCCAGCAACCCACCAGGAAAAGCAAAAACTTTTAGGGTGATGATCAGTCACCCCCTTACTCTCAATGCAAAGTCTATGCTGTATTTATGATGTAAACTCAACCAAGACAAAGACATGTTCCCTGAAAGACACATGCTACAGCTAAAGAAGACGCCTCCCACCGTCTCCCTGTGTGCACACCCACATCACTCCACATACTTAGACGTTGAGAGATTTCATCAGTCAGGCCCAAAGGGAAAAGACACCTTTAAGGGTTTCTCACAAAGCTCACAGCATTGAACCAGCGGGTGATAAGAAAACAAGTTAACTCAAGTCCAAAATGTGCTCTCAACCCAGTAACTAAACCATTCTCAACTGGTCACATAATTTGGGGATGTGTGTTAGGAAGACACTACAACCTAACTGAGGAAGTTATCATACACCCACCTCCTTAGTGCCCAGAACACCCAAGGTGTCTGTTTCTCCTAGGCCTGGGAGTACCAAGAAGCCTTCCCCACCTTCTCTTCACCTGCAGCCCAACCACCAAACGTGCACAGAAGCACACGACTGGGGAGTGCCACTGCATTCCGTTATAAACTCAAGAGAAGTTACTGAAACTTGTCCATGGAAAAGAATTTAAGAAATCCTCAAAGGACAATGATTCCCATCTATTTTCAAATTCCTTCCTAAATTCCAGGTCCATAATCCAACTTCCTACATGCCATCCGTCCCTGTTTGTGAAATGTATCTGGAGAGGCCGAGGGCGAGAGCCAATGGAACGCAGGGCTCTGAGGGTGCGACACATGCTGGTCACCAGCTCCGGTTGTGGCTCCCATGCTTAGTTCCAATCAATGCTAGCTCTATCTGATGCAACAGGTAAACTCACATGCTCCAAGTCATCTCCCCAGTCAAGCTAATCACTAACTTTAATCACAGATCCACGCAGGCGCTCTGGTGGGCAAGTTAACTTCTCCAACGAGGGGCGTGAGTCAGTTTGGCTAGTCATTCCAAAGGAAAGCAGTTAAGAGCAAGCTACGCGACACAGACATTCAGCCGAGCCCATGTCCGTTTCATGCTACTCACTTGCAAGGTGAGACGGGGTGGTGGTAGGCACACTCATCCCCATTCTTGCAAGCAGGCCAGTACTTGCAGCGCTCCAGAAGTTTCTCTGGTTTCTGGGCCACACTCAGTTCGCTCATCTCCACTACAAAGGGAAAGGAATTCAAAGTATCTCATTAACTGTGATTGATTTGGTACCATGCCCTCTAAGAAAGTCCCTTTAACCCCCCAGCCCTAAAATCTTATATTCTTTTACATTTGCACACACACATAAATGCAGCCAAACAGCCTGATGACCACTGGTGACTGAATCCTGTGCCATGATCCAGAACCTGACCACAGGTGTCACCGGGTTGGCTCTGTCACTCAAGTCTAAGTTCTAGCCCTGAGCTCCAATGCTGAACCTCACTTCAGACAGGAAAGATAGAGCCAATCGAGTGACACAGAAATGGGCACACAGGAGGTGAGAAGGAGTGAGTGACATCAGCATCCAGCATGATTACGAGTGGTCCCCAAACAAATGTCTCCACTCGCTGGGTCCGTGTAGTTTTCTAAGTCTGGCTGGCCAATGTACAGCTAGAACTGACAAGGGAGGAGGTGTGGCCTTTCTGCCTAAAATGGGCCACCAGAATGATTTCCTGTGGGACCCACCGGAGACCACCAAGCAAAGTGAGCAAGGCTGCTGTAGGTCCATGTGTGTCCACAAGTGAGCTGAGCACGAGGGAACACGCTCACCCACCCACCGACAGGGCTCACCACCTGCCCCACCACGTCGATGACAACACCCATTACTCTGACGTAGGAAAGAGGGACCCCGGGATACACACTGTCTTGTTTCAGGAAGTCCCCCAATTAGCTTTAAGTTTTAAATGCTGACATCTTAAGACACCGAACAAATAAAACGATACCTATTGGTAGAGTGAACTGCCAACTCCTAGTCCGACATACTACCCCCTAAAATTTATCATCATGTTATGAGATAAAATGTCACTCCAAGCCTGCTTCTCTAAGCCATGTGCCTACATCCGGGCTCTGGACAGCCCCCGAGTGGAGTCCCACGCTTGGATTTAGTATAACAGGCGCTGCAGCGGCTTCCCCTGTGCAAACAGCAACACCATCCAGCTTCGAGTTTGGTGAGTGCAAGGAAAGAAAGCACAGGCAGCAGCCCATCGTGGCCCGTGAGCAGCGGCAGCTAGGAGAGAGGTATAGATGTGTGAGCTCACTGCTGCCACGGAGCTCGGTCACAAGACTGTTTGGTGTCCTCCGTGCAGGTGACAAGGCACAAAGCAGCCACACAGCTCAGACGGGTACACCATCAAACTACTGCTTTGAGTGTGCCCAACATACACATTTCTTGCACTGCCTTAAAAACAATCAATTATTCGGCTCTGCATTCTAAAAGGATTCTTGGTTGCAAATAAATCTGGTAGGGCTGGAGGGAGGAGTTCTTGCCCCCCCCCTTAAGATAGTGCCCCTCTGCCAAGGAAGTGCCATCCGTGCACGGTCTTCAAGAACATCCATTAGTCTCTGGATTCTGCATGAGCACCCAGGACCAAGGAATGATGGACGGACGACCCACAGAGGAGCTGCTGGAAACTCGGAACCAGGCTGAAGAAGTCAAAGGCTTCATACAGGAAGGAAAATGTTGAGTCTCATCCAGAGGCCTCCAACTGACACTGACTAACGATTTCAAATGCAATTAACACTTTTTCCTGCTCGGATTCAAGCAGCCAATGCACCGAACACTGAGAGCTCTGAGATCTGTTCGGCAGCGCGTCAGAGTGCATGCTGAGGGCTGTGACTGCTGTGGGTGAGGGCAAACGGCCACCAGAAGTCACAGGCTTTCCAAGCCCGAGCTCAAAGGGACAGAGCAATGCAGGCGGAGCCACGGCCGCCTCCACAGTAATAAGGAAGAGGCGTTCTCGCTTGGCCATGGCATCTGGGTAGCCCAGGCAAGAACTGTCCACTAGCAGGTTACACCCAGTCACTGCTGCCACACCCTACCATGGAAATCTACATTTACAATTAGAGCCTGGCATGCCGCCCTGCCCCTCCCCTCATTCTACCAAACGGAAAAGCAACAGTGAGAATGCCAGAAACAGAATTCTCGCACTTAAAACGTTTGTCACCAAGAACTCCTTACTGCCTCAACCTAACGGTTCTTCCCACTTCTGCTGCCCTTTTCCCAGTTCTTCCTGCCGACATCAAGGTCCGAGAGCTCAGGGAAAAAGCCCTCCCAAAGGGTCTGACTTACAGGGTGTCACTGGTACCTCCATTAACCAAAACCATGGCACTCCCGCACTGACGCACTGCAGTCCAGTGGAGTAAGCATCCCTCCACCAAGACTGCACCCTAATGTCCACTGTACATCTCAGGATTTACAATGGTGTTCAGGGCATTCTGAGAAATTATTTGGGGGAAGTGCTTCACTATCCAGGATGCTTTTGTCCCTGATCCTGTTCCCGAGGAGGCTTTCCTCAGACCTTCAAGTGGTATGAGGGGCATGCTTCTCAGTCTCATCACCAATGGTTTCCTGGGAGAGGAAAGACAGCAACAGGAAATCGCCCCCGGCTTGGGGGGGCGGGGGGCGGGGGGCTGGCAGACTATGTGATCTGAAATGAATTCATCCGCTTTGGGCCAACCATGACCATTCAATGTGAAGGGGATTCAAAAAGTTCAACTATCTTTGCACCCCAATGTCCCACAGACTTTCTGAAGCCCTTTTATATACTTTAAATGTAAGGTCCTTTCTAGACACCCCCAACATGTATTTTGACAAATGATGCAAGAAATTCATTTCAAGAAAATTTCAGAAGTAGAAACAGCATTAAAGGCAAATTCATTTTTCTCTCAAGATCAAGTGAACTATAGGTGAGAGCACTGCTTGTACGAGGGACCTACGTACTTAAAAAAAAAAAAGGTAAAGAAGGCATCAAGAATGAATGCATATCCCTCAACCAAGACAACCCAGAAGGCGCCATGGCTGACCTCCACGTTAACACTGGAGCCAGTCTCAAATTTAACTGGCCATTTGGTCTGAGGGAACGGAAAAGGCTACCAATGGACAAAAATAAATTTCAAAAGCCTCTGCTTCCGTCACAATGGCAGCCCCTGAAGAGGGGTCACCTGCGCTCTCAACACACCGTTTGCAAAGCTACCATTGGGGTCCTCAAGCTGCCTGCGCATCAACTGCAACTGCTGTGGGTGGAGGAGACCTCTGAGTCCCTTGTTTGAGGCTGCAGTTTGGTTTACTGGTTTCATTCCTTCAAAGCACATGTCTTCCTCTTGATCTGACATGTATCCTGGGGGACTGGGGACACCATCCAGCGTCACTATAAACTTGGGACTTGCAGGTTTATCTGGTTGTACAAGATCTCTGCCAGACAGATAGAAAATACCATAGAATTAGGGCAACGAACATCAACAGCTGTGCCTCCTACCGTGCTCCTCGGCAGCACTCCCCACCCCGGCTGCCTCATCCCGGAATGGTCCAGGAAGAGCCTTGGCAGGCAGCCGGCCAGGTCGCTGGACACTAAGGGATTGTAGCTAACCCAGGGTGGCCGTGGGCAGCCACTAGGACAGCTCTGTCCAAGACCCTCCAACCTGCGCTGACTGAGGACAATCTCCCTTTACCCTGGCCCCACCGTCCATTTGACCCTCCTAGAGTCACGTGGAAATCAAGGGACAGAACTAGCGTCCATGCTCACAGTACAATGGCCAGGAGTCCCACCTGCATATTGACCCTAGTGTTACTACTTGAATGTTATTCCTTTAAGAACATTCCGCCCATTTGCTAAGAAAAGATTCTCTCTGAACCCCATCTACTAACTCTCACTAAAGAAGGGTCCAGATTGTAGCTAGCTACCTAGCTTTTAAATTTTCATTTCCTAGAAGTGTACAGAGAAGAGTCTAACTGACATAGCTCACTATACATTTCTGGACAAGTATGAGAAACCGGACTTTTTCAAAGTGGAACCTGGCTTAACTATCCATGGCCCAGTTATGGCATCAATGCTAGCCCTCCACATCGGGGGTGGGGGGGGGGGGTGGGGGGGGGTGGGATGAAAGGGGGGGGGGCAGGGCAAGGCGGTCAGGGCCTGAGGGACAGCCTGTACTATCTATTCCAAACGGAAGAACTACACAAGAAAAAGAAACCGTCTACCGTGGCGTCTGCATAAGGTGTCCTGAAAGTACCCGAAGGGTTTCTGCAGTCTTCATCACCGACTCGTGGGTGGGTGCCACGACTATCTCCTCAGACAGCTTTGGCTTCTTCAGAATAAACGATCTCGTGTCTGCATGGACCATGGACTCCATGTCAGAGTAATCTGAGCCAAAAAAATTGGCCACAAATGTTTACTTCTGAATAGACCTCGCATCTCCAACATCATACAACGTGAAAAGAATGTCAGTCTGTCATCTACTCGTGATTATTCTCAGAGGAAAATTACAATCGGCTCTACTCAGGAACAGCCTGTGCTTCTAGGCCAGGCTTTCTTCACAGGCACATTACCACGTGATTCTAATAACACTCTCCCTGCAGGCCTATGGGCGGCATCCAGTGGGAGGCATTAACAATACACACTAACCGGAAGGACAATCTGCCCTAGAGCATGTGGTAATGTGAGCGCTCCAGAGCTAAGCGCAAGTACTTATGGAAATGCAGGCTACTTAATGAACTTTATAGACGTGGTTTTCACCCTTCTGCACAGTACGACTCAAACAGGAACACATCCTCGAATGAAACAGCGGAGTGCAATTCTACCAGTTGGTATGCAGAGAATTACTTGGAAAAGGAATTGAGGATGAAATGTAAGGTTCTTTTAAAAAGATAAATAGCAAGAACATACTCTGACCTTTAAAGTAATTAACTCTAGGTTGACAGCCTCTACAATGTAATTCTCAGACCTGTCTACATCACCATCCACAGAAAATCTGTGGCCTACGGAGAGAAGGCTGACCACCAATTGACCTCAAAACGTTAGCAGCCTTCCACTCCCTCTACAGTGAGGGGCTAACAACACGGACACATGCACGGAGGATTTACTCTGCGTTCGTCTGCTGCACAGCTATTTTCAGAACACTGACTAGCTATGCGTGAGGTACACAAAGAAGAAAGGGGTAGACAGACAGACACATCATTTCTGAACAGCACGACCAATAGGCAGCCACCCCAAAAGGTCCAGAACGAGGTGTTAGAAGAAGAATACAAAGCTACCTGCTTAATTCTAGAAAATGAAGGAACAGCTTACCAAGGACGGAACATACACAACAAGTATTAAGAGAACGTGCAGAAATGTGCTGGGGTGAGAACACTAAACACAGAAAGGCCAGGGAGCCGGAGCAGCAGAGGGAAGGCGGCACAGCTGGGTGGGTTGAGCGTGTTAGTGGAAGGCGGGCAGAGGCATCGGACGCAGGGCCCGGCCTGTCTGCATGTTTGGGTTTTGGTTTCGAGTGAGGAATCGAGACGTTTCTGAGTGGCAAGTGACGCGGTCAGATTAAGTCTTCAAGCAAACCACTAGGGGTCGACTGAAGTCCTTGATGCCAGCTTTCAGAGCCTGGCTTAGCCCACCCATGGTGAAAGAGAAGACATCCAGCACTCCGCTCGGCACCAGGCGGAGCGCCAGCAGCTCCAAGCACTTGCCCTTCCCAACCACCCGGCCTTCCCAGCCCGGGGCAGGAGGGAGATGTCGGCACAGCAGCAGCCGGGCGAGAAGCAACCTGAGGAGCCAGCTGACACACAGGAAAGGCCCAAGGCAGCCTGAGAAGGGGCAGAGCTAAGCTTACTCTCCCATGTATGCATATGTGGCACTCTCAGGCGGAGGTTTAGGAAAAGGTGGAGAACTCAGGCTTGACCCTCAGGAGAGACAGAGAAATGACCAGTGCAGCCCCTGACAGGAAGGCAGAGTGCTCAATGAGCTGCTGTGTGTCTTCAGGGTCGGACACCTCTCTCCCAGAATCCTCCTCACAGGGGGGCGGAAACAGAAAAGTGGGTGAAGGGAGATAGTGGTCGGTGTAAGACATGAAAAAAAACAAAAACAAATTATCAAGGGATCATGAAGGAGGGAGGGGGAAAATGAACTGGCTCAAGTAGAAAGAAAATGTTTTGAAAATGATGCTGGCAACATTTGTACAAACGTGCTTGACACAAATATACGTGTGGAGTGTGATATGAACAGTAGGAGTCTCCAATAAAATGATTTTTGAAAAGGAAGAATCCTCACACGAAGACACAAAGCAGACTCTCCCTGTCAGACGAGCAGCCTGCAGCTCAAGGGCTCACCGATGCACTGAGGGCACCAGGCCAGCCACCGTGGAGCCACACTCTGTCCAAGGGCCATCAATTCCTGCCACCACCCTGTGCTTGAGGCGGAAGGCTTCCAAGAGATGGCATCTTGTGAGACTGCGGAGGAGGCTCGAGCCAAGCTGAGGGCTGAGCTGAAAGTGGTGGAAGAGGAAGAGAGGCGCTGCAAAAGGAGAGGAATGGGAACTGGAAAGTAAGGAGACACTGTCATCGAAGCCCCAGGGCCAAATGACGTAAGACAGTATCAGACCTCGAGTTCACAGGTGACAGATTTCAGGAAGGTGGGCACCGGACGTCGATGTGCAGCCCACTGGACACCTCTGTGCGCTGAGTGCCAGCTGCCCGGGGCAAGCAGAAGCCAGCCAGTCAGGAGAGTAAATGACATCTTCCAGGTAAAGGCTGCAGGCAGAACCCCTGCATTTACTTGTTCCCTTCTCAAATCCACCGAGATGCCGATAAAGGGAGAGTGGGGGCAGGGGCTAAACCCACAGTGGAAATAACAGGGAAAGGAGGAACCACCACAATACTTTTGAAAGTAGAATCAGGTAGATGAGGAGGAGGCTACTCGGTAAAGCACCAAAATCTGAAGTGGCAGCAGAGAGGCTCTTGGGAAAAGACTGAGGAGAAGGGCAAAGAAGGTGACCGGTGGGAGTGGCCACCCAGGAAGCAGTTTGTAGAGGCTGGTTGTCTGCTATCTGCCTTTGGCACTTCTCACACCCCTTCTCCTAGGTCTACAATGGAGCTAGCTGGGAGGATCAGCAATGAGCTTTCCTGCAGATCACCTTAGAGAGAGGCCTGTGGGTACATTAGCCTCAGGGTATCTGGTGGAAAATTGCTAACAACAAAAACCACCAGGTGCACACCATTAAAATAAAGGTGTGAGTTCTGGATCACCTTTGCTGATTCTGAGTGATGAAAATAAATACTCTTTTCCCCTGGAGAAAAGCAGACCTTCACTGTCTTGTGGAGATAAAAACAGAAGCTTGCCATCAAGCATGCTAAAGGAAGAAATAACATACAGAAATAGGGAGCATTGTTAGTTGAACATTCTGTAGTAACTGATGTTGAGCCGCACGTACACACACGCAAACACTTTCTCTACTTGGCTCCCAGAGCTCTGGCAGCGACGGCATTGTCTGAAACACCTTTCTTTTGAGAAGCAGACCATCCTGAGAAGAAAGGTCTAAAGACACTGACATCATGGGTCCCCAGACTAGAGCCAGGGGAATCTCCACCCACAACATGGCCAACATCCAAATGGGAAGTCAAAGGCCCCCTGGACTCATGAACCAAGAATGCGCTCATTGTCTTTTTCATGCCCACTCTTACATACAAGTCAGTCCAGGACCCCCAGGGAGCTGACGAAAACGTCCATCATGAAAGACAACCATCAAAACAAGCCCCTTACAGAAAACAAGACCAGAACAGAAAGAGAAAATCCTATCAAAAATCTATCTTTGAAAAAGGCAGGCATTGTTTCCATGAAACAAAATCAATATTCTTTAAAGAAACACAAACAGAAGGGTTATGGCTGAAGGTCAATGAGGGCTGCCCTCACGCCCAGCTGCCTCACAGAACGACCTGACTCCAAGATAAGCCCATGGACAGAGTGGGAGAAAAGTGAACCACGAAGGGGGCGTGAGCACGAGCATAGCACATGGAGACAACACATACAGACGTGGCTGCCACGCGTAGTGACAGGACACTCTTACACAGCAAGCAGATGGAATCGCGATGATGCGAGGGCAAAACCTAGCACGGAGGAGCGCCGAGCCCCGGGTGCAAGCCCCACCAGAATGGCTAGCAAACGGGTAGGAGCCAGCACCCGGGTGACCGTCAGAGAAGACAGCACAGCCCTTACTCTCAGACACTGGTCAGCGGAGGGCAGGGGAACAGCCACTAACTGCTGGGTCCTAACTGAGAGGGAAGAAAAGTCAGGAAGGTGACAGGGAGGGGCCTGGGACCAGAGCTTCCAACACAGGGTAGACTTAGAGCAGGAAGCAGAAGAGAAACTTCAGAATGTGAAATTTTAGGTATCCAATTATTTCTTCTATTCCTTAGGCGTTTATCAGACACAGAAGAGAGACATTTGGCAGGGGCTGGGCATGGAGGAAACAGATAAATATGGTATTAAACCCAATCCAAGGAGCCCTGGTAGTGTATCAGGTTAAGTAAGCCCTGGCCTGCTGTCAGGCCAGCCAGAGGCTCAAGCCAAGCAGCCACTCCACTGGAGAAAGACGTGTCCGTCGACTTCTGTAAAGATCAACAGCCTCGAAAACCCTGTGGGGCAGTTCTACTCTATCCTACAGGTTTGCTGTGCGTTGGACTCCACTGTCCAACCAGGCCGCTGGTTGGTTGGTTAGTTGGTTGTTTAGACCCAGTCCTAAAAACTCCCTCATGTTGTGTGTACCTGAATGCACTGGGGACAGAGGGCAGAGGTAAATGACTTACAGTGGTACCATAAAGTACAAGACGGGGCCCCAGTGAGAAATTCTAACTGGAAATAAAAGTGAGGGTCACAGGAGATAAGGTTAGCAGGGCAACGTGAGGATACTAAACCAACTCAGGGCAACGAGACTTGGGTAGAGAGGACAGAGCAGGTTAGGGACTCAGGGAGTCCTTTAGAGCAGGGAGGGAGCATCCAAGAAAGGACAAGGAGGGAGCATCCAAGAAAGGACAAGGACCTGGGACAGCAACTTCAGAGAAAGGGGGCTTCTGGAGGAGGTGGCAAAGACAAACAGTAACATGAGGAAAGTGCAGCTCTCATCTCCAGGACCTAGACTATTTCCAAGCTCCAAGTACAAGGTCTTAGGGCAGGATCTGAGGGACATGACACACATCAAATGAGGTGGAAAAAGCAACTGACAACTGCGAGGCTATAATGAAAACTTCAGGTGACTACTAACCTTGAGTGAGCTGCAGACTTTCTGCCATTACTGGATCAATTTGCAGTCGGGAGAGCAACTGTCTCTCTTGTGGTCCTAAAATATAAATTTTGAAACTTCACTAAATTTAAAAACAACACCAGTATGTGGATTTCCCAGAAATTATGCTAAAACTCTTCTTTCTGGGTTCTGAGCTCAAAGTGTTAAAAACAGCTGAAAAGTTTCAGGGACACCCTTCAGTAACATTTCCACCAAACGCATTTCCTTTCTTACAGCAAGAGCTGGACTCAGGCGGAACCCAGCCAGGAAGCCCATTCGCTCAAGCTCAAAGTAACACCTAGAGACGGGGGGAGGGCAGGGATGCCCGTCAGGGGAGAAGCCTGCACCCTGCGACAGGCCCGAGCCAATGGCAAGCCCAATATAGACAGCACCTCCCTTCACACGTGAACTCTCCCCTTACCACCCACCTCCCCTCACTACTCCTCAAAACAGGACCCTCTGGGTGTCTGGTCATCGAGTTCCCAAAAGCAAAGAAGTAAAATGGTCCTCAGAGCTCTGCCGTCCAGATTCCATGTCTGCAAGGCATAAGAAACACCTGTCTAGGTCACTTATAAGGAAAGCTGCTGAAGCCAGTGTTTCCTCTTCCTCACAGCTCGATGGGGAGCTGTGCTGGTGCAATGGTTAAAGCACATGATGGCTAACAGCAGGTCAGCAGTCCAACCCCAGCAGCCACTGCCCAGGAGAAAGATGGGGCAGTCTTGGAAAGGCGGTGAAGCAGCTCCGCTCATTCTACTGGGTCACCACGAGCGGAGGCTACTTCACAGCAGTGGGTTTGGTTAAACCGATTTATCATTTCCTAATAGCCACATTGCGAAACAAACCAGTGACTTAGAAACGGAATTTCTTGAACTTCCATGATCTCGTACAAGTTTCCAGAGCAAACGTCTGTCTTGAATGCGGTGGGAGGACGTCAACCTTCTCTGTCAACCACTTTTGAGTGCAGACACTGAGCCCTCCAGTACTGATTGAAAACAAACGTGTGACACTACAGCGTGCAGACCAAGGTACTTGATGGGGTGCAAAATACTGAAATGCGCCTGTTACCAATGGGTTTGAAAATTACAAGCTTTGCTGACTCCGGATAAACATCAAAACCAGAGATTTCTTAGCAAATACCAAGTTCTACTTGAAAACATTAAAAAATTTTAAAAGCTGTATTGCATTTGAAATTTTATGCTCTAAAACTTTCTTTTAAAGCACACATTATAATCTGCGTTAGCTGTATGCCGATAAAAAAACAGCAAATCCCTTCTAAAATGATCACAGCATATACAATAAATTCTGAGGACCAGGCCCTAAAGCTCAGGCTTCACTGGCCAGGTTATGTTCCGGCAAGGCAGATTGGGAAACAGACAAAGGCAAGGTTCTGGGAAGAAGGCTCTTTCAATCCAAACAATGAAGTTCAAACATAAACAGTGAATGGAGACATTCATCATTTTAAAAGAATTTCTCTCAGATACAGGAAAGAACCACTCTCATTTTGAGTTTCACTTCGTTATGCTCATCTGTCTTTTCAAAACATGATTTTGAAGTAATCCACTGATAAAGAATGGAGTTCTGATCAATTAACGGCTTCTAAGTGAAATAGTGTAGAGTTCAAATGTCTCATTAAAGGACTGGAGAATTCAAGCTAACAGTCAAGTTATGATGGAAAGACACACAGGAAGCAGACCTAGAGGACACGACATAGCCTAAGGGTTTACCTTTCTCAATGTTTCTAAGGAAGCCAATTATTTTGACATCAGTAGTCCCTGACTGTGATTCAAAATCAAGTTCCTCTTGAAGATCTTCAAAGCGCCTGTTGCATTCAGACATGGATGAAGAATACTCATTCATCTTAACCTCCAAAGACGAAAGTTTTGCTTCATTCTGCGACACTCTAACATTCAAATCAAAAAGATTTGCTTCCACTGTCAAAATCGCGGCTTTCATTCCTTTAATTTCATTGATATCTGTTGATATTTTCCTTAAAAGACTTGAAATACTGTCCAGCTCATTCAGTGAGCATGAGGAATTTGCTGCTGAACCTAAATCAAGCGGTGCCGGTGAGAAGAAAATTGGTACAGGTGACTGAAACCTCGAAGACATCCCCTAAGATTCCCTTGTTGCCTCTACTCTTCTGTAATCTTGTCTTCAAAGGCCATTTAACTCGTTCATCAAAAGCAGAAGCTGTGGTCCCAGCTGCTAACCTTAAGAAGCATTAAAAGAAAATACTATTTAAAAACCCATCATTAACAAGGCAGGGCTGTGCATTTTCTGGAGCCAGAACTCAAAAGAAAACCTGAAAATGTTAAAACACAAACCAGACCAATTCTCTCTTCACAACTAAGAAGCCCTAACACATGGCACTCTGTGTCCCCCGAGTCCTACGACTAGCTCTCCTCCCAACAATACTCAATTATGACAGAACTAATCCTGGCTCCTGATTGGCTGAAGGCAGACATGTGCCCAACAATTTTTTTTTAGTTATCTACGTCATGTGGGAGAACACTGAAGAGCTGAACCACAGATTCAGCAATCTAATATTAACTACCTGGAAACGCTGTGAATTTAGTACATTGCTCCCCTTCACCCATTAAACTAGAATTTTCAATCTTCAGGTTATTTCTAAATTATGCTTTATCTACTATCTTGAGTTTCATTTCCCCTTGGAAATAGGGTAGCAAAGTACTTGGCAATTCCTTTATGAATTAAGGTTAAGGAAAGTAGTTGGACCGAGGATCACTGGTATTTAAAAATCTATGGGCAATCGTGGAATTCAACTCTATAAATATGTATAAAAACCAAAAATCAAACTCACTGCCATCGAGTTGATGCTGATTCATAGCAACTGTTTAGAACTGGGTAGAACTGCCCCAGTGGGTTTCCGAACTTTCTTTTTTATAAAAGCCCCATCTTTCTCCCTTGAATAGCTGATGGTTTTGAACTGCTGACCTTGCAGTTAGCAGCCCACCTCGTGACCACTGCGCCACCAGGAACATGCACAGTATACATTGATTAGGGCAAGGGGAAAGGAGGACTTGTCGGAGATTTGATGTAGATCGTTTCCAGACCCTGCTCTGCACATACTTTCTCCCATTTTACAAGATGGCCTTTCACTTTCTAGACAGTGTCATATGAGGCATGAACGTTTTATGAAATTCAATTTATCTTTTTTCCTTGGGTCCTTGTGCTTTTGGTATCACATCTAAGAAAGCACTGCTAATATGTGTTTTGATCCTAAGTGCTTTACAGTTCTAGGTCTTTGATTTATTGGGTGGAAGAGGTCAGGCCCAACTCCATTCTGGGGCACATGGACAACCAGCTGTTCCAGCACCATTGGTTGAGAAAGCGATTCTTTTCCAATTAAATGGCCTTCGTGCTTGTGTTGAAAAGGGCTTGATTACAGACAGTATGAGTTTATTCCTGGACTCTCAATTCCCTTCCTCTTATCTACATGGCTGTTGCTATGCCAACTGCACCATTTCCATTGCTGGAGCTTTGCAGTACATTTTGAAATAGGGACACGAGTCCTTAATGTTGTTATTCTTCTCAAGATTGTTTTGACTAATCTAGATACCTTACATGTGCATAGATAGCATATGCACCTTACGATCATCTTGTCCATTTTTATAAATAGGTGAGCTGGGATTTTGAGAGAGATTGATTTCAATCTGTCATTCAAGCTGGAGAATAATGACATCTTGCAATATTAAAGCCTTCTAATGCATGAATACAGAATCTCTTTCCCATGGCCTTAATTCAAGAAAAGATTGCTTTTACTTTGATTTACTCCTTAAATGATAAATGTGTCATACTTTTAGGAGACCTAGTTGGTGGGCATGACGCCACAGGACCTTTTCCAAAGAAGAACTTTATTAAAGAATTATAGCGTTTGGCTTCCCATTAAGCAGATGTTGCTCTGGATAATAAAAAGAAAGGTTAGTGCTGGAATTTATATAACCGGAATGCATTTCTTCACTTCCTGTGCAAATGAATTCTTCAGATTTTTGAAACAAAAAACAATTTGCAAAAACTTCACAGCATGGCTGTGGATTCACACAGAATTTTTCAGGAGTACTGTCCACAAAGGATACCTATTATGAAAGCTTGGGACAAGTTTTCTCAGCAGAACATTCCGAGTCAAGATGTGCTGGCCAACCAGTTGCCTCACTGACGGCAGCAGACAAAACTTCAATGGGAAAATTAAGAAAGTAAGAAAATGAAAAAAAAAAAAAATAAAGAAAGTAAGAAAATGATCTGGCAGGAGTCATGAAGAAACATGCACCAATAATAAGGATGCTTTTTCATACCACCTGCTGTGCCCGATCCAACTTTAGAATACCAAGTACACAGAGAGCCTCCCAAAACTTCTCATGTAAACACCCAGCAGCAGAGGAATTTTATGTATCTAACCTATACTTCATTCTTGAAGGTGAGGCAGGTGCTGCTGCTCTTTTTGTTCATAGACTAAGAAGCGGAAGCACAGAAAGGTACGTGAAGGTCGGCTAGTGAGTGGAGAGCCTGGGTCGAAGCGTAGGCAGCCTGGCTCCCATGTCCACGCTCACAACCACTGTGGCACGAGACTCCTCGCTCTTTGACACACCAAGTAGAACAAACACCTCCCAGAGACCCACAGTGCAATACTCATGTTTTTTTTACACACACAGACAGATTACAAACACTTCTGCTCATCGGTGTTTCAGATCAAATCTTTTAGAGGTCAAAATGGTATACATGTTAGAATAGTTAGGCATGGGCTTAGTAGAGCGTGCATATCTTTTTATGCACAGACAACATTAAAGACACACTGAAACATCTTTAACATAAAGGGAGTAAGAACAATAGTTTGAGACACATCACAAAGTACCATCCTTTTGTTGTTAGGAGTCGCTGGTCTCCCCAGCGGTTTAACAGTGTGCTATACTGGGGAGGGGGTGGGAGCGATCTACATAACCACCTACGTCAGATGGTCGTAACCCGGGGCCGGCCTGCCGATGGCTGTGCGTAATAATATGCACCCATGCGAACTGTCTTGGAGCTGCATCAAGAGCCAC